CCAAATCAAGGCTCTGATCTCAGGAACAGCATTCTCATCATTATTTGCGTCATGTAGATATGCGCTTTTAACAGTGAATAAATCATGTGTGGAGAACTGTTCAATCAGTTTCGAAAACTTCTTAAGTCAATAAATATACTTATAAGATTCTCCATTTGATAGCTCCCGTTGAAGTTATGTAGTGACGGATTTTTTTTTTTTTTTTTTTTTTTTTGGGGGGGGGGAAGAGGAAGAACTGAGGTAAGCCTACTGTAAGGGCAATAAGTGACTGAATTACATGTGTAATTTCGCTCTCAAAATACGGTATAATTTTAGGGGAGACCGGCAAAGCGACGAAAAGGTCCATACAAATTTAGCTTCTTTGAAGACATTGCGAATGTCTAAGAACATTTTCATACAAATTTTCTCAGCACAAATGAAAAAATTGAGGAAAAGCTCCGGGTTGATAGGCGAAAATGTCATTTCATTTTTTGATAAAGCCGTGTTCTTCGCCGTTTGAAAAGTCGCTCGTCAATCGGCCATTCTGATTTCGTAATTTTTTCTTCATTTATTTACAATTAAATCTCTTTCTAAAGTCTTTACAAGAAAAATCATAAACGGAAACGGAGTTTTTCAGAGCCCTCAATCAGTAAAGAAATGATACCGCAACCTGTGCAGGTGACCCGTAGAATTGTTTTCCGCTTTTTATCTCTAGATACCCGATTAACATTCGCGAAATTCATTTCGCATCGTAATTGCGCGTGCAAGAAACGCTGGAGATGAATGACCAAATTAGAAAATACTTTTTTGATAAGATAGGCTTCCCACATCAACTCTGACTTTTCACCGATTTTCATCTTGAGGTCAAATTTGTTTAAATCGGTCGTCAAGTAGTCTCCTATCACACCATAATACGCTACGCTGCGCCACCGTGTTAAGTAAAAGCGCCGCAAGGTTGCCAGATTGTGTGAAAAAGCGCGGATACTTTCATTGAGTTAAATGAGGAAATGTGCTAAATTTCCAGCACAATCTGGCCAGAATGAAACGACTTATGAACATTCAGACGTTGGCATATATCTTCATATAAATTATTGTTTTTTAGAAAAACTTTAATTTAAATTTGTGGTAAAATTCAATTCACACTTTAACGCCTCTATCTCTAATAATTTCTAGAATAATTACTAATAATTTCTAGAATAATTACTCATGATTTTTCTCACGAATTAAATGTTTATCGGGAGTAATTTGGCAAGATTGAAATGTGCATACGGTGTTCTTTTTTAGCACGGGAGCACGGATTATTGGCCTCTACTTGCAGCGCCTTGCGTAAGTGCTTCGTCCGTGGCTGATAACGTTCCGAGATTCTGGGCAGCGTTGCCATTTTTTCGCAAGCTCTCCAATTTCTCTGGAGGAGATGACGTTAATTACGTGATGTTGATCTGAAAATTATAACTCTCCTATGGGGAAACGTGTTCCAAGCTCTGCTATACAATCTGTAACCGCGTTACACATTGTATATCCTGTTGGCATCATCTTTTTCATTTTTAACTTGTGGTGGCATAACATCACGCACTGGCCGAGTAATTCAGCGTGAGAATATAATATGTCATGTATGTGAGGCATAAAAATAGCCTCCATTCACTTCAATGTGAAATCGAGTGATATTTCCCAAAGTAGGCATAATCGGGTTGTTTTTGAAGAATTCAAGCGCGTATAGGGCAAAAGTTTAAAGCTCTGCGCATAGAACCTAGAGAGGTGACGCTTCTAGAAGAATCTCTAGAATAAAAGTGGTTTTAAATGTCGATTTGTTTTCAGTGTATTTTAGAGATTTGCAAACTACTAGAGTAACCAGAGCGCCATCCATTTTTTGATATGCAACATGCACATCCATAGAGTACGAATAATTGTGTCAAAGCGTTATTATCGACATAATTAATTGAATGTAAGGTTAATACGTCGCGTCGCACAGGCATACTTTTGATGCTGGAGTTGAAACTGCTCTGAAATGTATCCCTCATATTGCGAGTAATATGCAAAGACAAAAGTATGAGAAATGTAATTGGTGCGAGATTTAAAGTAGAGAGTCATGTGAAAGGAGCAATGGATAAATAAACGCATAAATCATAAATTTCTACATAGATGACCTACACGTGATGTTTGTTTCAAAAATTGCACGGCGCGGCGGTCTGTGTGCTGACACACAAAAGGTAGTGCAAAGCTGGCGGCTCATTTCTTTTTAATTATTCAAAGACGCCGATTCTTCAGTCGGATAGTTCCTATCATGAGGACAATTGCGAAACAATAGAGTTCCAATAAGTCACACAGTTTAGACTGAACTCAGTGTGAAAAAGAGTCTTTTAGCAAGGGAGACCTAACTACAAATGTCGCGCGCTTTCTTAAAAACGTGTGTAATGTCTCAAGCGTACAACAAACTAAAAACGTGGCTAGGAACAGACGTATTTATGCTGAAAGGAAGTATATCGACTGTAAAACTCCCAAACCACGTATCTCGTTTGCGGTGTTTGCAAATCTCCGCTCCTATTATTTTTGTAAATGAGAACAAAGCGACATCATTCCTTGAAGTTTTCACAGAATTTCCTTCGCAAATAAAAAAGAAATCGTGAAAATTTTGAAGAATTGACGTTGAGATGTTTTCCATGTAAAAAATAAAGTATAGAACAGAAAGTCTGCAACGTCGCAAACCGAGATACGTGGTTAGGGAATTTCACCGTCGATATGGTTCCTTGCAGCATCGGCGATGAAACTTTTAATTCTCTTTTTTCCTCTTTTTTTTATTTATATATTCATTTTTTTTTACCGTGGATACTTCGGTAACTTGTGTTTGAAATTATGGTACCGATGACCGAACTAATCAGCATTGATCAATCGAAATTCATGAATTTCGATCACTTCGAGCGGTCGTGAGAACCGTATGAACTTATATCGTTCTTTAAAGCTCTCAAGGTAAATAAAATACATCTGCCTTTAAAATAATCACATGATCCATCAATCATTGCGGTCGTATATTTTCTTTTGTGCGTATTTCAAAGGCCAAGAAAGGATAGGTTTTTAATGAGATTGGCAAATGATGAGGGTTCGCTTACACAGCGAGGAGATTATGATAATTTCATATTCATTCGATGAAAGATTGATTATGCATTTCTACACGGAGAAAAAAAACTCGTGCGTGGGACCCGAAGTTTAGGTCATATGGATCTCTGAAGTTTTCAGATTGAGCATCTGAACACTTTAGGTCTAGCTGCCGAAGTTCGGATCATACATCTGAAACTTCAGTTCTTACATCTGAAGTACTTCGGTTCTCACATCCGAAGTACTTCGGTTCTCACATCCGAAGTACTTCGGTTCTCACATCTGAAGTACTTCAGATGTGAGAACTGAAGTTTCAGATGTATGATCCGAACTTCGGCAGCTAGATCTAAAGTGTTCAGATGCTCAATCTGAAAACTTCAGAGATCCATATGACCTAAACTTCGGGTCCCACGCACGAGTTTTTTTTCTCCGTGTAGTAGTGTATGTTAATAGTGCAGCTCTTGCGCAATAAACTATCCTAGAACCTGAACAGTTAATATTTTACACTTATGGAAATAATATTTGGCATGATGACGATGAGAGAGTGTATAAATTAATTTTTCCGAATTATTCGTCCTTATTATGACGGACATGTTTGTGAAAATGCAAGAAAATTCTTAGTTGGCAAGCTTAAGCGATTCAAGCTAGAAAGACTGTAAGCCCGATTCTTTGTCCTTAACCCCGAGTACGGTTACACAATATGATTGCAGTTAATTGCATAACTACATTTGTAACTAACAATGAGTGGCTTCGAAAAATTCCATTTTTGTTTAATGACTCACATAATCGAGGAAATTTCCGGATTATTTTATGGGTATCCATTGTCATTGAAGAGAAATCACATCACAATAGAGTAATCTATGTGCTTACCTGCCTAATTGCGCAATCTTGTATTTAACGAGTCTACTTTTACTTTTCCGCATTGATGGTTTTATTATAAACGCATTTTTAGAGAAAAAATTTCAACATATTACAATCTATTTGCTAAATTCTACAAGTTTAACAAATGACCAATTACTTACAAACGATTTTGTCACAAGAACTGTCGGCTACTTAAAGCAGAAGGGGATAAGTAAGTGGGAGTGCAATGGAATTTTGTAGCATATTACAATTTTATTGCACCAAAATCATCAAGCTGAAATGCAATACTTTCAGCAGTTTAGCTCATGGAAATAGGTTGTAATGCAATTTGTATTTATTTTTTGAAGCAGGGCGGCAATAAATGCACAGATTGTGAGAATAGAGGTGAATCTTAGACCTTCCCAATGCTCTCGTCGTAATTTTTTGATCATTTTCAATATCAGACCAAATTTCGTGCATTTTTCCCTATGCACAGTGACTTGTTTGCGCTTTTTTGCCATCGATTCCAAAAATTCGGGTTTATGGGCTGTGGTGGGAGCTAGAAGGTGAAATTTCATGGAGCATGATTTTTTAGAGGCTACCTGGCTGCGTGCGCAATTCGCAACAATTATCAGGTAATTTGTTACTTAAGAAACTTCGAAATTTCCACTTTTTTAAAAAATATATTTTACTTTTTCTGTGTGCTTCATTCCTTACGGAGTCTCCTGTAGGTTTTTTAAAAAAAATTCATGAATTTTCATTTTCAAAATTGTTTTAAGCAAGTTTTTTAAAGTTTAAGTAATTTTGCATCTCTGGCTGTTGCCCTCATCAACTCAATCCGAATGGTTGCTGAGGGAATGCGATGGGCAGTGGCGTGGTTTGAGATATATCAATTGATCTGGCATTTAAACCTATTAAAAAGGATCGATAAGTGTTCGCAGAAAACTATCGATCCTTTTCCGAAGGTTTAAATGGGTAAATCGATAATCGATCATTCACGCCTCGCCATTGTATCGCAGTGGGGTTTGAGTAGAAGGGATGAAAATATGGCGGTGAATTTGGGCTGATGCAACTTTGTGGTGTGTTTGCAGCTCGAGCAATGGGAGGGTGGCGGGAATGGACGCGCCGCTCGCGTGCCTCATGGACGACACGAAAGAGAAGCTCGTCGTCGGGCCGCCCCACGCCCAGATCAAGGTGGCCGAACTCACAAAATCCACCCCGGAGATTCGACGCAAGAAAGGCAGCTCCCTAAGGCAGGTCAGTCTCACTCTGATTACTCATTAAAGCATACTTTCTCCGTCCTTAACTCCCGCATGAATTTCATGTCGCAATATTAGATCCAATACAGCTCAAAATTCTCTAATTTATTCTGGCAGTATTTTGTCAAAATTTCCCCAATAATGGAGCCAGTGCTAGAAAAATGTTTCTATCAAGTCAATGCGAGAGGTCGGACATGAATTATTGTTTGGCTAAAACTGCAAATTCATACGTTCATTTCGTGAAGTTTTACAGTTTGAGGGGTGCTTTCTACAGTAAATTTTATGAGAAAACCAATGGGACTACTTTTAAGACCTCCACGTTTTGTAATAATGGAATTATGAGCTTTTAAAGTTTTTAAATTTTGTCTAACTTCTTCTATTGACTAGTTTCATTGTGTGCCGTGTCACCGGAGAGGGCAGTCCTGGTTGAGATAAAAATACTGTCGCAATATTAGATCAACTACAGCGCAATATCCTTTCAATTATTCTAGCAATATTCCGTCAAAATTGTGCCAATAAGGCAGCCAGTCCTAAAAAAAAAAATAATTCTCTATAATGATGGTATTTTACAAATTTTTTTGAGCGTTCGATTGTATTTTTAAAAAATCAAGTCAGCATCCTTCTAACATGTTTGCCAGAATATCGATTTTCTATCTTTTTCGATGTCTTATGAACATTCGTCCAATATGTTTTGCTCCAATGTTCACTAACGATTTCTAACCGCCACGAGTAGGTAACATCTCAAGGCTTTAGAATCACCATGAGTCCGTAAAGTCTAAATTTCACCCCTAACTTCACAACATGCGTAAGAAATTCGCGCAAAAGGTTGCAACAGACCCATTCGTGCTGTAACTCGGCTCTGGTGAAGTGTCTCGCTCGCTATCTCGGCGTAACATGTCGCAGACAGCGCGGCGACTTTTCCGACGTTTTTACTGCCCCATTGGCGTCGGGCGTGTTTTGCCAAGGCGCCGTTCCAGGTCAGTAGGTGAATTAGTGAGCTTCGACTGTCAAGTTTACAAGCCTTGAAGAGCTCGCACTTCCCATCAATGGAACTTCTGTAAAGTTTTGCTCCGTCATGAATTGCTCTTAACATATAGCTGGAGACCGAAACCGCAGGGTTTAGCTTATTGTTAGTCAAAAGTATTGTAGGTATCCTATCATGCACACAAGCTCTCTGCTCTGACTTTTCAAATTTTCATTATTTGTTGTAAAAACCACCCGGCAAAATTTCATGATTGTTATCGTTGTTAATAATCTCTAACTGTCCCCTTGTAATTTTTGAAATAGGACCCTGGTTTTTTTATATCATCCGTGATAAAATTCCAAATTCTCCCATTAAATTAAGGTACGAGTAATTTTTCACTTTTTGTATGATTTGTTTTAAAATTTTACGTGGCATACCTGCACAAATTATGCAGTCATCGGCAGGTTATAACTAAGAATCTCCTGTGAAAATGCAGTAGAGTCCCCTCATACGACCTATATTCAAAATTAATCAGACTGTCTTGAAACAAGTCAATCTGAAGGAGACCTGATATCAGTCTGCGGCGATTCTTTGATATCACACTGATATCAGTAGCGACCGGCGCACAGTGTAACGAGTAAATGGGAGAAGTCGGGCAAAACTTGGAAACTTTGTAAACTTACATCTTCGTAAATATGAAACGAAGAAGTTTAAAAGTGATTTCACTACTTTACTCACAAGATTTTCTCTCAAAAACATCCCTCAAGATTGGAATTGTGACGAAATAAACATCAAAATTTACGATTTTAGTCAACAATTCCATGTTCAAACTCTTCCAATACCTCTTTCCACTATGCGACGTAAAATCCAAGTGGTCGGTGGCCATTACACTGATTTAGACTGTTAAAGAAAAAATCAGTTTCGTCAATTTGACGTCAGACCGACTCATATTAACTGGGGCAAGAGCAAGCCTTATCATTCGTAGATAGGTACTTAAAGTTGCTTAGCGTAGAACAACGAAAAATGCTTTACTTCATAGACATTTGATGTAGGATTGCTTTCAATGCAGTGCACTAGATGGATGATGTTGAGCATTCTGCTGAGTTCGATGTAGTTAATCTTGCGCCGAGTTTCTATTTTTCTGCTCGGATATAGTGTGTTTCTATAATGATAATTCCGTGCAGTTGCTATCTGTCAGCTCCTCTCAGCGTCGATTATTCATTATTAAATCAAAATGCACGGCACATCGGCTTTTTTACTTCATACGGAAATGAAATGCAAAGAAATAATGGGGCATCTAGCATCTACTTAAATTCTCCACCAGATTTCGAACAATGTGGTGTAAGTTCTTCGATTAGAAATACAGTGCCTGGCTGGTGTGCGATAACAAGATGAAAATTAAAATCCAACTGTGAGTGCTCTGGAAGTTCACTGACCATGAGTATATTTCTGTATCCAAGCAGGGCCGGATTTATACCTACTTGCCGCCCACGGGCCGCCTGTATTTTTCCGCCCCCTTCTCATTCGTTTTGAAACATCAATAAAAACCATCATAAGAACGTGCCGGAGGGGGAGGGGTGCATAAGACGCGTTTACATGTGTTGGACAATTTTTTTGCGAAAGCCCTGTCAACACTACTAGCAGAAGTTCAAGGAACCTGGCGCGAAAGTTAAGTTCCGTAAACCTATCTCTGTGTGGAAAAGGCCTTCCATGTATATAAAATGAACAAAAAAATGATGAAAGCATTACGAACATTAATGCATGAAACAAACATTAATGCGGTTTAATAATTTTAACTTCCGCTGCCGCGCCGCGCTGACCGCACTGAGTTTGGCGCAATGCGTGAAGTATTTATGCAGTCTTGTAGGCGCTATGCGTTTCACGCCGACCGCTGCTTACCACACTGTTTGGCGCAATGCGTGAAGTATTCATGCAGTCTTGTAGGCGCTATGCGTTTCAGGCCGACTGCTGCTGACCGCAGTGTGTTTGACGCAATGCGTGAAGTATTCATGCAGTCTTGCAGGCGCTATACGTTTCATGCCGACCGCCGCACCGCTCCGTTCCAGGTCAAATTGCGTGTTTGGTTTCTCTCTTAACTTGAATAATTAAAGGTGTTGTCTCTTGTATCACCGAAAGACGACAAAATTAGAAATTACTATACTTTCACTCTCAAGAAATGAGAGATTTTGTCGCCTTTTCTCGTTTGTAATTTATTTTCTGAATCCGATTTTTCTCTCTCTTTTTTTGATACCTACATTCAAGAAGATTGCAAAATTTGCCGCCCCCTACATTTTGCCGCCATGGGCCGCGGCCTATGTGGCCACCCCCTTAATCCGGCCCTTTATCTAAGTATAAAAGGTGGAAAAGGTACATGAAGAGAAAGAGAGAGTAGCGCATAGTTCATAAGAGAGTACTCATATGTCTACGCCTTTAAATTGCAAAGCTGCAAAATTTCCAAAATTAATATCCGATCATCAAATTCACAAAATTCGAAATATTTGGATGACCGATAAAGCAACGTATACGGGTAAAATCGCTCCCCTCAGCTTTTTATTTTATTAAAATTTTTAGCTGGTTTATCAATTTATGTATCTGTCTGTAAAGAACAAAGATATTACTCTACGGAGAAAGAAACAGTGCTTTGTAATTTTGCAATTTCGTACAGTGTAGTCGGACAACAATATTTAATACGTTTTCTGAAAAGAACATATTTCGAACTTTGAACTCAAAACCGCCATAGTTCCAGTTTGATTTTCATATCTAAGTTCTTCTTTCTCTTAACAATTTTGCGGAAGAATCCTCGATATTCAAGTATTTTTTTAAATCTTTGCCGGTTAAAGTCTCTTCTCTCACGGACAGTCACATAATTTATAGTACCTAGAATAGATATAATGTCCTTCCCAAGTTTTAGTTATTAAAACTAATACTTATCTCACATGAGGAAGGAAAAAAATCGTACTGACAGACAAATTTTCTCTTGCAGATAGGCGCAGCTGTCTTCGCTAACCTAGGAACAATAAATACGGGCCTGGTTTTTGGATTCTCAGCTGTAGCACTGCCCCAGCTAACAAGGCCTGACAGTGAAATCCCCATCGACGAAAATCAAGCTTCATGGCTAGGTGAGTAACAAACCTTTTATTATATAAGGTAAAATGGTGCCTCAAATTCATTATATACTCATCCCCGTGATGCAATCCATTAATTGACACTCGTTGACGAAATTTAGCAACACAGGTAAAAAATAAGCTTCAGTTAAAACGACACCGTGGCAGGCAGTGCCAGTCATAAAACAATCAAAGCAAGAAGATTGTTTGCAATCAATTATTTGGAATATTATTATTACATTCTTTGAAAAATAAATTGATTCTGTAGTACGTGAGTGCGTCGATAAATGGGAACACTACAGATAAAAAACTTGTTGAGTACCTTTTGAAGAACCCCTGGGAGTATCGTCTTTGCAAAGTGCATTCCTTGGGTACATGGAAAATCAAATGCTGTAGTTTCTTCTTTGAATTAGACATCTTGTCGATCAAAAAGATGAAAATATACGGTAAATGGGCTGATTATTGACCCAGATTTCTTACCTGTGAAATTGTTTTACCCTAACACAGTCCAGTTAAGTATGATCCTCTCTCTCATGCAACAGGATTTTACACAGAAAAGATAAAAACTGAGTGTGAGGAAATACACCAGAGCTTTACTACAAATTGGAGTGGGATAGGGGTAGTAGTTTAGGTGAAAAAAACGAAAAGAGAGTGATGAAGGCACTCGTTTCATCAGATATCATTCGCTTAGGTATCGCAGATCTATTGGTCCGTTCGCGAATGAAAATGTCGCGCGTATATTACATCCAGGGCCTGCGCAGTCAAAACGCCTTCCGTTAAAAGCGTATGCAACACGGACAGCTTCAGGACACGAATAGTTGCATCAAGGCGTCATGACATTAACAATGCGCATTTATCCATAAAAGTTACTACACTCCCGTGCTAAAAAAGAACGTCGCATCTATGTGCAAATGTTGCCAAATTTGTAACAATGCAAAACGCATTATCCGGCAAATCTATGGATTCATATATTTCAAAATTTCTGAAGAATTTCATTTGCAACTATTTCTGGAGTGTTTAAATCTTTAATGAAAAAATATCCATATTTTCCGGAAAAATTAATATTTGATCAAAAGGAAAGGAACACATTAATACAACATACGGCGTTTTTATTCAATACGGCAGATTACGAGATTTTCGGTCTGAACTCTAACGCACACTCGTATAAAATTAACAACTTTTTTGTCTTTTAACGCCTTGTCTCCACGGGACGTTTCACGGGATTTTTCCCATGTTCGAATCGCACGGATGAAACTTCTGAGCTTTTTTCAGATTAAAAAACACAAAAAAAATTTATTCTTCTTCTTTTGAAGTCTTTATTTGAAGTTCTTTGGAACTCTACAAGGACTCTTTGTTGGCACTGTGATTAGTATTGACTAACTCAACATTTTTCTCAACTTCGCAAGTGAGATTTTTCATCTCTAGGACAAATCCCATGAAAATTTACGTGGAGAAAAGGCCTCATGTTGCTCCTGCAAAGAATTGCAACAAATCGTTCTGAAACACTATGTTCGTTGGACGGTTTTTGCGCGAGCGGATTCAATTTTATTGTCGTCATGCATTAGCAGATGTCATGCTGCGACAATATCATGGCATTAGCTTGGCAGCCACGCGCCGAGTGCGTTTTTATTGTGCTGACGCTTATCAGTCCTTGAGAGCATCTGCTTCGGAGCACTTCCTATTTTCATCTTGGCTGATAAATCAGGTAAACGACCCATTTCGCGGATCAGGATTAACCGAGGCCCACGTGACGTCATGCCCGCTCGTCCCGTCTCATGGGTGCGTTTACTTTATACGCGGTGGCGCTGAAATATCGCACAGTGGATCGAGTCAATAGGGGAGATCGGACAATACTTGGAAACTTTAAAATCTCATACCTCCGTTTATACAAAGCATTGAGGTTTTAAAAGTAGTTCCATTGGTTTTCTCGTGAAATTTCCTTTCACAAGCACACCTGAAAGTTTATTGACTGTTTATATGAGTAGTGTGGCCACCCTATGACTTATTGTGTACGGTAATTTCTTGTTTTATTACGGTATTTTCATATTACTGTGCGTTTGCACATGAAATAACCTCAAAATTTTCTGATTTTCGCTGATTTTGCGATTTTTGCGATTTTGACAGCTATAAACCACCTTAAAAAATCATTGTGTTCAAAGTTTTCACCATTTTTCTCAAACGTTGTATTGTGAATGCTTATTTTGTCAATTTTAACCCTTTGAGAAATAATTTCTGGATTATTTTGAAGTGTTCAAAGTTGCTGATTTTCGCCAAATTAAATCGTAATTCCTGGCCTGGCAGGGTCAAATTAAATCATAAGTCAATGGGTTAAATTTGACTTAGACGTTGATCTGTGTTACAGCGAGTATGTCATCGGTGAGCACGCCGTGCGGGTGTATCCTGAGCGGTTACCTGATGGACCTGATCGGGCGGCGGCGGACGCTGATCGTGACCGAGATCCCCCTGATCATCGGCTGGATCCTCATCGGGATGGCGCCAAATATCTGGTGGATGTACGTCGGACGACTCCTGGTTGGCCTAGGGGTCGGCATGGTCGGAGCCCCCTCTAGGGTCTACACCGCCGAAGCCACCCAACCCCACCTCAGGGGCATCCTCGCTGCCCTCGCCTCCGTCCACGTGTCCTTAGGTGAGTGATGATTGCACTCCATTTTGCAATAGGGAGCTACAAAACAAAACACAAAACCAACACAGCATACAGCACGCACAACGCGCACAACACGCACAGCACGCACAACACGCACAACACGCACAACACGCACAACACGCACAACACGCACAACACGCACAACACGCATACATACATGTGACGCATTCAGCTTAACATACATGTGATTTATAAAAAACTTAAACTTAATGAGTAAAATAATATTTATAACCCAAAACGCTAAAATATTAAAAACTACAGAAAAAGGGATAGTAACCAACCAAGTAAATTTATTAATTAATTTTATTTATAAAAGAACACACCTACTATTTAAAACAAACCAGATTCATTTAAAGACTGCAATTTTAATCATAGTTATCTTGCGCACAACACGCACAACACGCACAACACGCACAACACGCACAACACGCACAACACGCACAACACGCACAACACGCACAACGCGCACGACGCGCACAACACGCACAACACGCGCAACACGCACAACACGCACAATACATACCTATCACAAGCGCTATGCCACGTTTACAAATTTCCGCCGCCATTTTACTTTTTTTTTTTCGGAGAAATCGTTGATTGAATCTGTTTGAAAATTTCACTGAATTTTATTGGCAGCACAAAGAAAATTTAGTGAAATTTTCGGACAGCTACGTTGAACAATTTCTCTGTAGAAAAATAAAATGGTGGCTGAAATTTTCAAACTTCGCCTGGTGCTTGTGATACTTTGGCCGAAAGGTGACGATATTAGAAGCTTCAAAAATGCAAAAAATTCCTGGAGGAGGCCCTCAGACCCCCCCTTGCACTCATCCCTCTCCGTTTGAGCTGTGTGGATCTACCTTGTTGAACCCTGGAATTAATCATAATCTTGACAACGTCGCTTTATGGCGACTCATACTGCGAGTCCTATTTCAATGTTGATAAGCACCTGCGTATAGCAGCCCCTTCCCCTTGTTAGCTAGTTCGCCAATACATCTCCTCGTCGGACCACGTTCTCTGTTTTCTTTCAATAAAATATGTAATTCATATTCCAATAATGACTACTCCGAAATATACCCAAAACACCTATCCTCATTATACCTATGGCTCGATTCTGATTTCCCTGGTAAAAATTGGCGATAGGAGCTGCGTTTCAAAATACCATAGGAGTTCTTATAGCCGACTGAAGGAGGCGATAGAAAATCATATAGCTGGCTGTAGAAAGTGGAAAAAATCATACGGTCGGGCTACACGAAGCGATAAAAAATTAAACAGCCGGGCTATAGTTCCTGTCGCCGGGCTTTACACTTTATCGCCTGGCTGTTGCTTTTTCGCCGTCGGCTATAAAAGGCTATAAGAAATTGTGCAGAAATTCGTGTGCTTTGTAAATCCGCAAGTTTGTACGGAATCACCATAATATTTACAAAACACACATTATATTTTCCTTTACTACATATTTGTTTTCATCAATTAAAATAAGAATAATCCATACAGAGTGTGCAAACATTTCAAAGTCATGAGTTGAACAACGCTGACTCCACGAGATTAAATATTAGAGCCTAACACAAAGCGGAGCGGCGGCGCACCGGCGCCTACAAACCTAACAGGGATACTTCACGCATTGCGCAATGCGTGAAGTATCCCTGTTAGGTTTGTAGGCGCCAATGCACGTTTCGCGCTGTCTGTCCGCCCGCAGCGTACCACGGCGCTTGAAGCAATAGTTGCTTCAAGCGCCGTGGTACACACCAGAGATATTGCACAGTATCGTACAAAATTGAAGGCGCTCCAACATATTAGGAATGGCAGGCATCCTTCAAAAATACGGAGCTTTCCTCGCAAAATAAATCAAGATACTACGGCCCAAAAAGAGAGCGGTAGTCCAAAAACTCGCTAAGTCCTAGCATCCGTAATTAGTAACGGATAGCATACACTTTATCGTCAGGCTGTTGCTTAGTCGCCATCGGCTATAAAAGGCTATAAGAAATTGTGTTGCCGGCTATAGAAGCTATTGGAAATCTTACAGTCGGCTGTAGGTCTATGGTATTTTGGAACACAGATTCTACTGAAAGTTTTTATCAGGGTTGCTCACGGGTTCTTCCTATCTTAAAATGGCAACAACGTAGACTTCTATCGACGAAGACGTTATTCTAAATGCCGATTGACTGTTTTCAGGGGTGATGATCGAGTACATCCTGGGCTACTACTTCTCGTGGTCGTCGATGGCGTTCCTGAACACGCTGGTGCCGATCGGGAGCCTGGGCGCGTGCCTGCTGCTGCCGGACTCGCCGGCGTGGCTCCTGTCGCGGGGCCGCTTCGAGGACAGCAAGCGCTCCCTCCAGCGGCTCCGGGGCGCCACCTGCGACGTCGAGCACGAGATGGGCATGCTCGTCGCCTTCGCCCAGACCAACGCCACCGGCTCCCCCGGCTCCGCCAAGCAGACCCTCCGCGCCATCCTCCACCCCTCCGCCCGCAAGCCCTTCCTCATCCTCATGGTCTACTTCGCCATCTACCAGTTCTGCGGCATCAACCCCCTCACCTTCTACGCCGTTGAAGTTTTCCAGGTAAGCCCAACTGCGGGCCGATTATTGAAACTGATAGACAAAGCGATAGATAAAGAGGACATAGGGAGTATGGAGCGATCCTATTGGTTGACATGGTTGGTTCATATAGACTAAGGAAGAAAATCATGGACTAGTCGTCGGGTCTTTGGTGGGTTGCCGTTAGTTAGCCCATTATCTAGCTCCTATGTCCATTGCCACTACCCACTTCCACCAATAGGATCCCTCTGAATTCCTTTTGTCGTCTTTGTCTATACCTTTGTCTGTCAGTTTCAACAATCAGCCCGCTGGTCAGTTGACAAGGTACAAATAGAGTACAAGTATTTCTGTAAGTTGGAATTTTTTTTTAGCCTGCGGGCTGATTATTGAAACTGATAGACAAAGCGATAGACAAAGAAGACATAGGGAGTATAGAGCGATCCTATTGGTTGAGTCTTATAGACTAAGGAAGAAAATTTTGGACTAACTGTCGGGTCTTTGGTGGGTTGCCGTTAGTCTGTCCATTACCTACCTCCTATGTCCATTGCCACCACCCGCTTCCACCAATAGGATCCCTCCAAATCCCTTTTGTCGTCTTTGTCTAAAGCTTTGTCCATCAGTTTCAATAATCGGCCTGCAGCATGCGTTAAAAATTAGCATAAAGCTGAAAATCTCCATACAGAGGGAAAAAACACACACGAGCACCATTTTCCCTCGAAGAGATACGCTGTTTGGTGCAACACTAGTATAACGACCATTCAGGACGGCAACTGCAGATGCGTTTCAGCCTTATTGGGCCAATCCTCAGTGCAGCGATGGTTACTAGTGTTGCACTAAACAGCGTATCTCTTTGAGCGAAAATTCAAGGTGAAAAAATCAAGGAAGGGTCTCGTTCAGAATGAAAGGACACGTGAAAAAATGAGCGTCGAAAGCAGCATATAGTGTATGACATTTTCACCAGTCTGGTATAGGCATGTGCAAAGGATGTCTGGTGATAGGTTGCCCAAGAAGGTTCTGGGTTGGGTCCCCCCTGGCAGAAAATGTAGAGGACGCCCTGTCAAATCGTGGATTGAGGAAAAAAGGCAGGAAATGAGGAGGAGATGCGATTTGCCAGAGGAGCTCTCGCAGAATTGCTATCGGTGGCGGTTGGGTGTCGCAGAGCGCACGGAAGCTCTCTAAGAGCGACATGTTAGTAGCGGTAGTTAGTAATAGTAGTAATAATTTTTCTAAAAATGTTGCATTTCCTTTACCGAGCACTTGGCTCCTAGACCATGCACCCGAGCACTCCTCAGAAAAGTATTCACATCATCTTTCTCTTTTATCCCTCCAATTGATTACTGTATTGTATAATTTCAGCATTCCGGCAGTGATTGGGACAAGAACGTTGCAACCATAATTCTAGGCGTAGTTCGGTTAGTATTTACAATCGTTGGATGCCTCTTGATGAGGCGAGTTGGACGACGGCCGCTTACATTCCTTTCGAGTAAGTTAAACTTCCGTCTCACTTTACAGCATCATTGTCCTCACCAAACGTACCATCAATATTTTCAAATGTATACATGTTTCTTGTGTTAAATAATTCCAAAGCATCGAGCGCCTCTAAATAAAAAGAAGAAGACAATCCCCTTTGCTTTTCAAACTTCTTGTACAGTGGTATTTTCTGATTTAAAGCAAAAAGGCAGAATTGACACGAATGGAGTTTAGAGGTTCCGCATATTTTTATTCCCCCTTCAATTTGGAGATAGGCCAGAAGACATACTCCGTGCGAAAATAGTGAACAAATCAAACATTTTCCGTCGTCTGAAAATTTTGCTTCGCAGTAATGCATTTAAACAGCTGGAAAGGATTAGCTGCAAATGAGCACGTAAAGCCTATGTATAAGCATAGTTCTTTTTTTTATTTAATTCATTTCATTCGTAGTTCTTTTTTATTCAATTCATGTCCATATGGTTCATTTTAGTATAAGCACGACCATGTGCAACTTTATTTAGTGATTTTGTAGCTAGCTCTATTCAAATCGATACGGTTGATATTTCGCTGGCCAAAGTTCGAGACCGAGTATCTCTATCGCAATTTTTCAAAATTTCCCGCGCCTACTTTATTTTTTCGAGGAGGAACGAGCCAACTTTACAGCTTCAAATTTTTATAGAATTTCCTTCAACAGAAAGGAAAAATTACGGAAATTTTCAAGAACTTACATTGGCCATCGAGCTCTGAGCCAATACGGGAGTAGCCCAGACACATAAAAATCCCTCCTATTTACTGCCGTGCTGAGGATGAACGCGGTATGAACCTCCAGACGTTGCCATATTTTCTTCAATTAATAAGAAATTTACCGGGAAAATTTTGAACATTTTTCTTCAACATTTTTTGATAATTTGGCCCGCAATCCAATCTAAAGTATCTGAAAATTTCAAGGGAAAATAAGCATGACTTTCCTCAAAAATACACGTTTTATTCGGAGAAATTTAGCAACTCTCGAATGCTTATACGGCGTTTTTCCTTAGCGCGGCAGTATAGGTGCTCTAATATCATGAGATCTAACCACACAAAATGTCCGAGAATTTTTTTCCACTCACTACTGTTCCCGGTCATCATTTACGGAGATAAGTATTCATTGATCTAAATGTTGGCGAAAACACGACTCAAGGGCGACGCTCGGCGATTACACTTGGCCGGAGGGATCAATAATTACAGAGCATGCTGAGCATGTGGAGGTATACGCCGCACAGTGGATCGAGTCTATAGAGAATTTGCAGGTGTCTGAAATTTTGTAAATCTCATTTTTAAAATGATACTGCTAGGAAAACTGTGCACGAGGATATCCTTGGTTTCTAAATTGGACAATTATTGGAGGAAGTATGACAAAATAACCTAATCTGCTGAAATACATGTGTTCAAATGGAAGACGCCGCCAGATGACGTCATGAGGCGGCGCATTTTCTCACTTTTAAGTCTATTTTTCTCCAATTCCCCATTTCAGAAAAAAATTATGAAAAATACTGCAAATCGGCTCACTATAGGCACTCTCAGATGAAGCGATAGTATTTTTGTGTGCAAATTCTCCATTAGAACAGTCGGACATGAAAGTTTTGACTAAAACTGCAAATTTTGATGTTCATTTCGTCAGATTTAAAGGTCAAGAGGTGGTTCTGAAAGAAAATTTCACGAGGAAACTAATGGAACCACTTTTAAAACCTCAAAGTTTTCTATGAACGGAGTTTTAAGCTCTTAAAGTTTCCAAATTTTGTCCGACCTCCCCTACCGACTCGGTCCACTGTGTGACATGAGTCATACGAGTTTCGTAAAACGTGTCCATGTCATCAGCGGCATGGCCGCATGATGCAGTTCGTAAATTGAGTGCGTCGAATCGTTTAATTGGTGTTAAACCGCTGGCGGTGTTAATTGGTGTTAATTGATCAGCGGGCCCCGGAAAACGCACGAGGTCGATGCAAAAGCGCCTTTTCTTTTCCGCCGCGCCCAGGGTTCGCTCCACTTTTGGCACCCGCTGTCAAAAAGTAATTAAATCTGGTTCACACCGCTCTGAACAGTTGGACTATACATTATGCAGTTAGGAACTACAATCTCTAGCTCATTATAAAAACGGCATATGAACCATTAGTTTCCGTATGCAAATAAGTGTTTTTATGCAGATTACATTTTGCAAAAAGGAAGCAATAGCATTCAAATGTTACTAGGATTGTGCAACTTCCATTCTTTGCAATAAATATACTGAAATCCTGCAAAAAATTGAAATTACATTGGTAATTTTTTCTTGAATATATAGCTTATTGTTAGTAAATAAAAAACTTGTTTAGATGATCAGTTTATATTATGGAAGTAAAAATTTAGCGATATTGAAGAGCTCTCGGTCCTATTTTGCAAAATGCAATCCATATATGAGCCAGAAATCATAATTCCTTATTGCAAAATGTAGACCAGCTGAGGAGTTGAAATAATCCAAGCCTCGGCAAGTGCCACTTGTTATCGCTAAGAGCGTGCATGGTCTTTTCCACTGTTTAGAGACATAAGCGCTCTCTCTCCAGAGACGACTTTTTATTGGACAATTTTTCTAAATTTTGACTTAATTTTCCGTAAAAAATTGTTATTTTCAATTTCCGTTAATTGAGAGAAATAATGCACGATCTTAGCAAAATATGGTGGCGTTTACCAGGTTTTGGATTCTCTCTTTTCAGTTGTGACCGTCTTCCAGGATATCATTTCAAACAAATCCCAAGGAAGGGGGGGGGGAGCTATGTGGTTAGAGGTGACCATGTGCTTAACAGTTGTGAACTTGACTGTTGTCTCTGAATGCCACAAATAACCGTTTTTATCCTTGCCTAAGTGCTACGTGTTCCATGTTGCAAAACTTAGTGGTAATTATTAGAATTGAATTAAATTTTTTTGAAAACAGTTTTTTTACCATGATTTTTGTCACAAATGAATGCTTCACCAGAGATGTTTAAGGCATCAAAAACGATCATTTTAAATGTGAACGTTTTGTATTTGTCTCCCTTTTATTTCAATTTTTACTTGATTTCTTCCAGGTATTGGGTGCGGAGTGCCTATGTTAGGGCTTGGCTACTACATGTGGCTCAAAGATGATTGGATAAGTAACGGTGTCACCCCGAAATTCCAGTGGTTCCCGGTGCTCAACATATTCGCCTTCATGGCTTTCTCCAGTATTGGGTACCTCGTCGTTCCGTGGGTCATGATTGGAGAAGTTTTCCCGGCTAAGGTAAGTTTATAAGAAAAATAGTAAAATAGCCACTTGTCCTCGATCACTACCTCTTCTCTCCCTTCATTAGTGGATTTTTGTCAAATTCTGATCACACAAAGGCCAATTTTGAGCCCTACTCATCCTCAAATGTGGAAATCACTTTCTAGTGAGTTTAATTGGATTGCATTTTGCAAAAAGGAACCAAGAGCATTCCAATGTTGCCAGGATTGTGCGAGTTACATTCTTTGCCATTAAATCACTGAAATCATGCAAAAAATTACACTTCGACGGTGAAAGTCGGCAATCACATAACTCGTTTGCGGTGTCTGCAAATCTCCGCCTCTACGTCATTTTTTTAAAGGAGAGCAAATTGACTTTATTTCTTGAAGTTTTTGCAGAATTTTCTTCGCATTGAGAAGAAAAATCATGACAGTTTTAAAGAATTGCCGTTGAGTAGTTTTCCATTTAAAAAATAAAGTATGACAGGAAGTCTGCGACGTCGCAAACCGAGTTATGTGATTGCCGACTTACATCGTCGACTTACAAAGGTAATTTTTGGCTTGAATTTATAGTTTATTGGAAGTAAAGTTAAAACTTACAATTAGTTTATATTTGCAAGGTGAACAAAGTTGTACAATCTTAGTGACATTGGAATGCTCGTGGTTCCTTTTTGCAAAATGCAAAATGTATCGTTTAAGCTGCCAATTTAAATGTCAACTACAGCATATGAGCAAAAGGAGTTCCTTCAAATAGGAGGATAGGCAAATACTTGTACCTCAGTCCACGAGCTGAATCAGTCTGTATGAACTTCCTTAACAGATTACCTAATACTTTCCATTCCGCCTTGTAGCCAGGATAATAAGATTATATTTTGCAGTAAGGAAAAACTATCTTTGGCTCGTCTGTAAAAGCACATTTCTACATACTGAAAGCAATGACATTAATGTTGTCTCTAAAATGAGCCAGAAATGTTGGTTTCTTAATGTAAAATGTGATTCAATGTGTGGTCAGCGTTTTCTCTGTAGAAAATACCCAGCCGCCATTAAGTTGCTTCAATGGCGATGATTATCCTTTTCAAATCGCACAGAGGGCTTTTGATTTGTGATTCAGTAGGCTGATGCAGTTTGCTCATGATTCTCGCAAATACCATTTGCGCGCACTCTTGACAATTTAAAAATTAATAACTAGGAGACCGGGTTAATATACCTGTGCTAACCGAGGAATTTATACGAATCTGGCTACCTACATATCATAGATTTCATCCGTAGGGAAGCTTTTCAGCCATTCGGCTATCATCAGCCTACGCAACTTATCGTGTTTTCACATTTTATCCGGTCTCCTAGTTATTAATTGAAAGGAATTGCTATTACTACAAGTATAATGCTTGTTTACATTAAGAATTCAAAAATACTTTCACGTCTGTTATGAATGACCTTGCATTTTTCTACGCAGGTTCGAGGCATCATCGGTGGTCTGACTACATGCGGTTCCCACTTCATGGTGTTCGTGGCGGTCAAGTCCTACCCGCTGATGCAGAAGGTGCTCACTGAGGCTGGCTCGTACGTCTTCTACGGTGTCATCTCCTTACTGGGCACCGTCTACTTCTACGCCTGCCTCCCGGAGACCAAGGGCCGCTCTCTCCAGGAGATCGAAGACTTCTTCTCCGGGCGCAGGGAGTCCCTAGCCCCCGATGCCAAACGCCGCATCGTCAACAACAATAACAACCGACCTACCATCCTCAAGCCCCAGAAAGGCAAGATCCTGCCCTGAACTGAATCAGGGATCATGTGCAACCCCTAGATGCAGAATTTACTGACGTTCTCTAGAGAGGTCGAATCGTCTTTCCTATGACGTAAGGGGCCTATCTCTATTCGTCGCTTTCCTTACGAAAGAACGTAACTTCACGTCAATGTTGCCAAATTTCCCCTCGTATATTGTACGAGTATATTGACGAGGAACATTTTGGCCATTTCTGAATGAATATTGCACTGATTTTTCCTTAAATTCCATGTTAAAATCATAAATTTTGGATAAAAATCGTACAGATACGTATTTGTAAAATAAATTAATAATGGGGTCAATTTAGCAACCCTGTAGTGGAGTTAAGTTCCTTCATCCGGGAGATGACGAATTTCGTGATCAGCTTTGCGGGCTGATAATTGAAATTGATAGACAAAGCGATAGACAAAGAAGACACAGGGAGTATGGAGCGATCCTACCGGTTAAAATGGGCGGTTCCTATACACCGAGGGAGAAAATGATGAACTAACGAAATTTTTTGTAATAATGTTAGAGGTAACACTTTGCAAATCCTAGATCTTGTTATGGTTACTCCTCAGTCGAGAAAAATCTGATATGCAGAGTTTAATATGACAATATTTGACTTACATTTAGAATCAACCTGTCTAAATATCAAATCCATACGATAATTGATTCCAAAAATACAAGTTACCTTTTACCAGTGTATTTGTTAAGTTTGAAATGCTCTTTTGATGAGTTCTAATTACTATTCGTAAGTCTTCAAGTTGTTAAAGTGAAATCCCTCCTTTCGTCATGATCGATCTTGTGACAGATGCCTTTTTTTCTGAGGGTGATTATTTTTCTCGACTCTTTATTAAGGTTTGGAAATTATTTTTGCAAATGAATTCCGGATAAAATATATTTTTCTGTTGAGTTTCAATCCACGATATTTTTTGGTATTTTTTACAGTAAAGAGCCTTTGTTAATGAATTTATTCTAGTTTCTGAAAGGAAGGTGGAAAGAAAGAAAAACCCTATTTTTGTATGATCTTTTTTACTAATGATAGGATGGACATGCTTCTTGACCTACCTGCTAATTATCAGTTTTGACCGAGCTCAGCTCGTTTTGAAGGTCTATGTGTACAGTTAAACTTTTCGAATAAATTTGTTTCATTAAATGAAACGTAAAAGCTACAATTTTATTGCGAACCAATTCCACAGTAATTATTTACATTCGTGCATTCGAATGAGACCACTTAAGCAGAGTTCATAATATGTAACATTTTAAGTGCGTTTTCTATTCCAAAACTTGTGTGTATACGCAGATGCACCTGCTAGATGCAGGTGCATGCATATGTAAGCAAATGTCAGTTAATACACATACCCAATTTATTCTCTACGAACTGCTTCATAAACATGTTTTTTCGACCGAGTCTTTTCTGGGTAAAACCTCTTAACATGTTTTAAATTCATTGTAGTAGTTTCCCCAAAACCAATGATACCTGATGTTAAAAAAAAGTATCTCTGGCAATGATGTAGCTTGACAACTCTTAATGACTTTAGCGCAAGCAGAGTCGAACTTAAATGAGTTATAAACTTAAAAGTACTTACATGAGTTTTTATCTCCAACTGTTCTGTGATATGTAGGTAAAAAATGTTAAAAGTTGCCATATAATCCTCACTTGATTGTATAAAATTATTTATTTTGAGCTTGCTCTGACTTGCACTTATTGAAAACGACTCATTTATTTATTTATTTTTTTTATTATACTAGATCCTTTTCATTCCTAATGTCCTTTCTCATTTTACTACAGTCACAGGGATTATTTAAAAAAACAGATTGTGAAAAATTTAAATAGCAAACAGATTTTCCCCCTATTTTTTCAAAAAGTGCTCCATTTTGTTTCGATGTAAGACTGATTTAGAGATTTACTCAGAATTGGACTGCATTTTGTAGTAAGGGAATAATATTTTTGGCTCATCTATTAAATCATTTCTCTGCGTAGGTAAACTAATGTCACATACAGTCTTTCTATAATGAGCCATAAAAAATAGTTCCCTATTGCAAAATGCAGTTCTATTTAATTCCCGCGGTTCGGATTTTTCAAAGCACTCGGCCAAAACTCCAAAATGACGGAACTACAAAAACAGCTCATAAAATTATTTTTAAAAATGCCTGAATTCACCATGAGAGTGCAAACTGGTACTTTTGAAGCCACAATTTTAGAGATCCCATATATATTTTGTGATTTTATTTTTGTTTATATCGTTGTAAATTGTAATGTAATGTTGTAAAAAGTTACTCACCTACTGATTTATTTTTAAGGAATTAATTTTGAATCTTGAAGATTTGAATCTAGAAACCAAGTTTGCAAATTAGTGCTATGTATTGATGATTAAGTATACTTTTTGTATGAAAAATTCGTGCCCTCTTGTGATTTTTTCCGCAAGTTATTTTTCCAAATAGGTACTCATCAACGAATGGCTGCATTTGTTTCATGAGTTTATATCATAGTTTTAGTGGATTATTCATTTATTTTTTATCTATGTTTTTTAGAGTTGCTATACGTCTGTCTTATATTAAACCTAGAGAAGTACTTACGACAGTGAAAAGCGCCTTCCTTTCATCGTTGATGCAAATTCAATACATAAATTGATACAGACGCAGCACCGTGTCACCCAAGATTGATATACCCGGGATAAAGCACCTCACAAAATTATGATCTTTGGAAAGAAAGAACGAGTGGATAGAAACTCAAAATTCAGATGATTTCAATCCAGCGCGATCATTAGGCAATTGGAGAGCTTTTTGGGAAATTTTATGAAACATTTATGTTCTATACAGCCAAAACTTTCCCCATCAATCGTTTTTTTTTTCTTCGACAATCCACTCCTGAAAAGTTCAGGGTAATCTGTGAAGAGAGGTTAGTAGTGTATGGGGGGAGGGGGCGCATACAGCATACTCACAGGCGCAAAAATACTGGCTCAGTCTTGTACTTTTGCCGCGGTTGTAGTGCGAATTTGCGACGTCAAGGCTTCTTAAATTTCTTCATGACGAGAACCCCTGAAAGCCTGATGGTTAACGGAGAGAGCGACTTAGCTTTTCTTGGTCCACACGCTGTTTTGTGGTCTATCTCTCTCACACTCGTTGATCATATGCGGATTGTCAAAGGGGCACCTGGTACCCCTTTGACGTCTGGTACTCGGTACCAGACGACGTGAACACGTAGAATCGGGCAAGTTCAAATCTTGCCGTAAATCGCAAATGTTGCGTGGAGTAGAGCAATATTATTAGAATGAATCGCACGAGGAATATTGAAATGTTTTAGCTCAAATATTGAAGTTAGAAAAAAAGTAGGGTTAAATAAATTGACTAGTTAGAGCAATCGCTCCTAGCAGGTGTATTCAACTCGTCTTCTTGCATTCTATAGTTTCGCGGTGAAAGACCAGATTTAGTTTCTTAACCTCACGGAGAATTTTTGCAATCGAATGTTATTAAAAGATCCTAAGTTAAAAATAGAAAAAACAATTTGAAAAAAGTCTTTAACAGCAATCTTTGCGATCTGAGCAGCTGACATATGAGTCGAAACTTCGCTACTTTTTCCGACTCAGTTTGATTTTCTATCAAGAAAACTAATCTAAATGTTTCCTCCCAGTTAAGCAACATTTTTCACGGATTATTTTGAACCTGAGAAATGTTTTCTCTCCTGAGCAACTAGTTGGAGCCAAGGATTGCATTCCTCTTCGAAGCACCAACTAGTTGCTCGGGAGAGAAAACATTCCACGCGGAAACAACTACTCGATCAATGCAGAGGAGAGAAATCATTTTTCTCGTAAATAAATACTTTTTCCAGAATTATTTTCAATTTCCCCAAAATCCAAGGAAAATTCCGATTTTTTCAAAAGTTCCGGGGAAATTATCAAAATTACGCCCGGATTTAGCTCCGAAGATTGTAACATTCAATTTATAAAAATCATCAAATTTGAATTTTAAAAGATAATCCGTCAAATTAACGAGGAAACCCGAAATTTCAAGATAATGCCAAAAACTTTCAAAAATATCTACTAAATTCGGAAATTTCAAACATTTAGAGATGTTCAAATCACTTGAACAGTTTCCAAGTTTCAGAAATGGAGGCAATGTTCAGTATTGACACAATCGTTATTAGCTCTCGCATTATTGGCCCTTAAAAGGGCCTTTTTAAAAGAGGACTCATCAACAGTCGGGCGGTGGGGTGGGGGCGCACTGAGCACTTCTGCCACTAGTGTCCATGTCAGAGCGTTCGGACTTCTTCTTCTTCCTTTTCTTCTGCTTCTTCTTAACCACCCTCTTGGGCTTGGGCCGTTCGTAGGGCATAATCAACCCTGGCACGACACCACCTTCCCGGATCGTGGAATCCTTGCAGCTAGTGAACAACTCGTCCAGTTCCAAATCGTTGCGGATGCCCAAGAGGATGTCTCGCGGGGTGATGCGTTTCCTCATACAGTTCTGGGCGGCGGCCAGGTCGAGGATCTCGAAGGCCAGATATTCGAGGACGGCTGCCATGGCCACGGGGGCCTTTTGGCTGGTGCGGTGGGCATAGTGCCCTCGGTGAAGCAGCCCTCCGATGCGACCCACAGGGAGGATTAACCCCGCGCGCGTTGAGGCCGAGACTTTCTTCTTGCCCTTAGCGGCGCCGCGCTTGGAGGTGCCAGGAGACATGGGACAGCCACAATCAGTTTTCGGCGCCATCGCTCCGAGCTTCGCGAGTGCCTCATTGATACTGAGCCAGTGGACGAAAATTCGGGGGTTTTATAGCTTTTTCCCTCGGAAAATTCCGCCAATGAGAGGTGCGGATTTCATTGAACCATATGAGCGTTTTCGAGTTGCTTTAGACCGTAACCATGGAATTTACAGTGAGCATTTTGCTCAATGTGGCTTGTTTCAAAAATTGCTCGGCTTGGAATTTTTATATTTTCAAGTTACGAACGAAAAATAAAATTACTAAAAAATGGTTGCTGGGTGGAAAATATTCTGAGGCGATGTTATTGGCTGCCATAAGGAGACTACGACCGGGCGATGTTTCAGTCAGTTTTTTCCTGTAAATGGAAGCAATTTAATATTTTCTTTTTTCTTCTTCTGTCATTTCCAAGTTGGGTAATATTCGAAGAGGGGCATAAAAATAGAACTTAGATAGCACACGGGGCATACCTACATACATCTATCTTATCGAGGATCGAAACGACATTTCATTAAAATTCAGACTTTTAGACAACTCTTCCCTCACCACGTACCCGTCACGCAGGCCCGCACCTCTATGAAATATTACGTTACGATTTTACGGAAAACCCTTACGCAATGAAAGCCGTACTTTTGTTTGCTTATTTTCACCAGAAATGTAGAGAAATTGCCAAAAATTGGGAGTTTCCCAGCTGCAAATAGCACACATTTTATGAATTTATTTATTTTGTGTTTTTTGCAGCTGAAAATGAGCTGGTAACAGCTCGAAATCTCCTGCCTTTTAGTGTTCCTCATGTTTTAGCTTGGTTTACCCATGTTATAATGCCCTCCTTATTTATTCTTATTATAGATTATAGATATAGCTCAGACCATTAAGGGATGCAGTTTTTGCAACACTACGTGATTGGTCTCTGGATGTGTCGCAAGGCTGCTTTCAATTTTGTCTTTGGAAGTAAGAATAACAATGTTGGTGTACAAAAATACTTTATTCGATACAAAAATTATTTAATGGCTTTAGTCGTATGAAATGGTCCTTTTCATATTTTACATTTGTAGGTTTTCAAAACCACAATGATTTTTTTTTTTTAAATTGTATTTTGGCATCATTATAAATATCCATTGTATTTTGGCAGCATTATAAATATCCATTAGGGAGGATAATATTCTTCAAGATCAGTGTCAAAAAGACGCCTCACCTTATTAATATACATATTGGATTATCCGCGAAAATCGGACTGTGAAACACTTACAAAAATGTAGGCTAAAGAAATGTCCGAAAATGGTCGGACCAAACTAGAGCATGATTTGAAGTTTGCAGCTCATGAAATGTGCATCTGATAAAACTGATTTAGATTTTACGCACATTCTATTTCGTGGACAAATTAATTGAGCGCGTCACAAGGCAAACAATAGTTCCCTTCCTCTTCCTGCTTCCCCGTCAAATTGGATCAATTTGGGGGTTTAGGAATGTTTTAAATAAATGCACGTCATATTTAAAAATATTTAAGGGGAGCGAAGCGAAGTAGGAAACAGCAAAGTGAGTTATGGGCATTAGACAGTATTTTGCAGGAACTCGTGATATAATAGCTCATCCGATAGCTGTAAAGTGAATGCGTACGAAATATTACTATGTCATCTTCTTAAACTAATGGGGGTAGAGGTAATTTTGTTATTGTATGAGGAGCGCTCAATTATTTTTGAATCGCAGTTTCCATAAGCAATGATCAGAGGTCAATCAAAACTTTTCGCCGGAAGCAAATGGTTCAGCTCATACTGAATCATCGTCGCCACGGACTATGATTATCCTTCTCGTGGGATATCGTGTCTGAAAAAGAAGGAAAAAATAACATTTGTTAATTTTGGAGATGATTTAATTTGAACATATTTTTACAGAGGAGGAAGTGTGTGGGAATTACTTCTATCAAACCATGAACATTGGCGGATCCAGCAACTTGGCAACATTCTTTTTCTCCATCTAAACCTATGGAAAGATATCGATTCTTGGAGGGGCCAGGTGCTCCGACAAGAATCGATTATTTAGCATAGGTTTAAATGAAGGGAATCCGGTGTTGCCAAATTGCTGGATCCACCTCTCAGTATGAAGTTTGCGTACGCACGGTCGCACGTCTGCTGCTTATAGTTCCTTTTGATTTCATTCATTTGCACACAGTCGCCTAATTCTGTCCCTTATCGCGGACGGAGCAATTCTTTCAGCATAGATTCCAATTTAGACAGGCGTTCTCTCTCAAAAAGGGCGCAGTTTTAACAGAAAATTTAGAAATGAAGACGAGAACCCTATATAACCCTTCAATACAGTTGTAAAATTTTCTTTAAGTTTTAAGCTGCTCAGAGGTTAGCAGAAAAAAAATTTAACTTCCTCATATTCATTTTTAGAGAAGGTCAATGCGTTTGCAGGTATATTATTTCAGAAGACGTCTTCATCGTCAGCAAATGATGTCATCGGCCCAAGAAACGAAAACATCAATATTCTTATTATTTATTTGTTTTTTTTTTTTTTTTTTTTTTTTTTTTTTTTTTTTTTTTTTTTTTTTTTTTTGTTTTTTTGTTTTTTTTTTTAAAAAAAAAGGAATGCGGAAAATGAGCCTGTTGCATGCAAGAGATAGAGCTGCGCGAATAGACTTTTTAGAGGTTAAATGACACAAAAGTTACGTTGGTCACATTAAAAAAGTCTGAAATACACTCCTTACTGCGCAATTTGCGTTGTTAGGAACGCGCTTTTTCAAATTTCCCGCGTCTGGGGGCAGTTTCCTAATCACCGGAAACGAGCAAACGGCGGGCTCGGTGATTTCCGGAAGATGCCGAGTCATTGTTGTTGTTGTTATTTTTTCCTTCAGTTTGTTTACAAACCCAACGTGATCTCTTATAGTGGTCCATATACGCTTTATGCGGTAACCAAATCGATCAACTTTTACATATCAATCGCAATCCTTCTACATTTCATTTCACGATATCATGAGCTCCGATTTTTAGGTTATGTTGTCAGTTTTAGTTGACCGGAAATAGCCGCGAGTTGCCGTTAATTGTTTCCGTTAGAAAACTGCCCCCAGACGCGGGAAATTTGAAAAAGCGCGTTCCTAACAACGCAAATTGCGCAGTAAGGAGTGTATTTCAGACTTTTTTAATGTGACCATCGTAATTTTCGTGTCATTTAACCTCTTAAAAGTCTATTCGCACGGCTGTATCTCTTGCATGCAACAGGCCCATTGTGGAATTTCTCCTAAAAAGACTGTTTAATGCCGAGGAGGAGCTGAGGAAAACTTACCCCGCTTCCGCACGCTGCTATAATACAACCAAAAACGCAGCACACCATTCCCAAACCGAAAATCGCGAACATTTTTGCAGCTTTATCATGACCTGGAACAAAAGTTGATTCAGCTATCAGTAAAATTAACTTGGGTAACTATAAAAATTTTGAAATTGGCAAAAACTTGTCTTACTCAACTTCCAAATGTGTAAAACTCCTACCTTGAACAATGAATGAATAAAATGTTCTTGCTTGAATTTTGAGCTTGTATGATTTCAAAAATAGACCTTTTCAGAAAATTGACCAGATTTTTATATTAATTCTTTCGAAAACAAGGGGAAATTTTTAAAATACAAACAAGGAAAACATTTCAAGTGATGCCTACCAGCCTCCAGAAAAAAGAGCACCTCGAAGCTGCCTACATGTGTAGCTTGCCGAAGTTTTGGATTGTAACCTGACTTCGGCTCCAGTAACCAAATTTTAATTAGCCGGGCAAAGACTTGTAATTTTCACAAAATACTATACTGCCATGCTCAGGAAAAATACCGCAAAGACAGCCAAATGTTGCCACATTCCATTTAATAAAATATTCATCTTTTAGGAAAGGTTGAATATATTTCATTAAAATTATCAAATTCCCCATACTGAAATGCGAAAAAAAATGAAATTGTTTAAAAATATTCGCAAATTCCCTATAAATGTTGAATCTTATTAAAGGAAATTCGATAGTGTCTACAGGCTCATCCGGTGTTCGCTATCGCCGTGACTATATCAGTATCGTGGTGTGCTTTTAAGATACATCGATTTATCTGCCATTTGAACACTTTCCATAGCGTCAAATGGAGAAATCCCGATAATCGATCATTCACGCCTCGCCCCTGGACAACATAGCCTTTTAGACCTGGAAGTATGTTTCCTTATCCCAAAAGTTTAGTGTGGTTGGTTGGTAAATACGTTTATTTAAAGGTCTTAAAAATCAATTGAGCCAAAATTCGGTTCTTGTTGACGATTTTTTTTATTTTCACCATCCGGTTCAAATGAACCTAAAAAATATGAGAGGGAAGATGGGAACAAATGTGAGAAAAACATGTTCGAAGAGGGCCCTGGAAGTGAAACAAGGTTTCTTCAAAGTAAAAACGAAAAGAAAATAGTGACTGGGCATGTTCATCTGTTTCAAAATGACACGAGACCCTTTGTTTCTTAAAAAACCCATGAGAAATTTCGACGCAGTAACCTGAATTTGCCGTTAACTATGTTTCTTTTTAAATTTGTGGAGGTTAATTGGATTTCATTTTGCAATAAGGAACCACTATCTCTGGTTCTCCCAGTAAAGCACATATATACATAGGGAGACCAATGGTATTTATGTTGTTTCTAAAATGGACCAGAAATAGTAGTTCCTTATTGCAAAATGTAATCCAATCGTTGCTGGCACAGTTATTCTGAATTTGACCATCATTCATAATTCAGACATTTAGCGTGTGTATGTAATCTATGAAACTTACTTTCTTCGAACGTGTTGTCGAAACCCATAGTCATCGGGAAAAACGCTACCAAACAGATGCACATTAAGAATCCAAACAGCTGCAGTAGAAGAAAAATCAGAATTAGTTTTCGCACGAGTATATATTTGGATCGCATTTGGCAAGAAAGAACCAGCGTAATTACAGTGTTTTCAGAACTGTGCTACTTCTTCTTTACTTTAAAAAATACTAAAGTAAAAAATATGTACAGCATTAAAATTTATACAATTATTTTCCTTTAATATTAACAATTTTTTGATGGGAAGCAAAAACTGTTCGCCATTCTAGAATACTTTTCACATAATTTTGAAGACGCAACATTTTTACATCACCGCAATCTCGCTCCTTCTTTTGTGTCAAATGCGGTCTATTTGGTGTTTTTTTTTTTATTTTTTAAATAAACCAGAAATGAAATTGGAATATACCTATCTTGACTAATAATCCAAAGATTAAAATAAATCTATACAATTAGCCTAAATTTTTTAAAATATTTTCTCGTTTTTATCACCAAAAAATACCATAACGTTGCTCTTCTGATGTAAGGGCGTATCTCTATCTTTCCTCATGAGCCCCGGAAAGCATAAAGTTATGCGGAGAACAGGGCTCACGCGAAAATTGAGATACGCCCTTAACGCCAGAAAAGAGACGATAAAAAAGGCGGCCCCGAGTGCCAAGGAGGCAGTGGTTATTCACTAAAATATTTGCTGTGAAGATCCCTCTCTGACGAATTAATTTTACTAAAGTAGATAAAATAAAACATCTCATTCATTCAAGTTTTCCACAGATTAGAATAAACTAAAAATGGAATGGAAATTGCCTATCTTAATTCGTAGTCTCAGGATTAGAATAAACCTATAAAAACAACCTAAATTAAAATTGACGAAAAAACCTATGGAACACAAGCATTTTTGCGGTGACTGAACTATTGATATTCTACATTTTCATTTGAATGCCTGAGTGACTTGAGGACATTTTTAGCACTGATTTAACTTTTCAAATTAGATCACTATTAAACGTGGTAATATTTGTAATGCGAAACGAGGCAACGTTGAAATGCTCATGCGGTGTCCAAAACACAACTTGAGTTCGAATGATCGCGCCAAACACGGTGCGGTCGGCGTCTAACTCATATCAGCGCCTGCAAGACTGCATGAATACTTCTCGCATTGCACCAAACGCAATGCGAGAGTTATATGCGATGACTATTCGACAACGGGTATAGGCACATTGCACTGTGAAGACGATTTAACACTCGATCGCGCTCCCCTCCCTGGCTTGCATGACGCTAAAATCGCCGCAAAACTAAGACCCCGCGTCATTTCTTTCGATGGTCCCTGCCCGGGTTTTACCACAATTAAAGGGTAAATATGTATCTTAATTGCAACGATTCAGAAACTTGGACGATGTTTAAACGATGCAGTGATTCTGAAACTTGATTCGCGTAAAATTAATCATGGTTTAATAAACGATCGACCGTTTTTTTTTTTTTTTTTTTTTTTTTTTTTTTTTTTCTAAAATGATTTTTAAACTTCTCCGCCGATGAATATGGATCATCATTACATCCATTTCGCCCTAAAATAATGTTCAGAATTTCAAGAGTCTTTTTCTGAAGAGATATACTCACCGCGAGGGCTGCTCCTGCGTAAGTTGCCGTACGTCGAGCGCAAGACTTTTCCTGTTTGTTTCCGCTGCCTTTTGCTTTGTTTTGTGAGTCTGGAAGATAAAATAAATTGAAAATACGATTATTTTTCTATGTACAAAAATATATGGGCACATGGCCGTGCTCCGCATCTCCATGCTCAGAAGCGTCTGCCAGAGTCATCGATACAAAATTTTGAGATTGGACACATACGCATGGTACAAAGAGATTGTTCCATCTGCCATTGAAACTAGGTCCAGAAGGATATCTCGGCGTACTTACATGTTGTCGTGAAATTATTTAAATACTAGTAAAGGCCCCCTGAAAAAAGCCCTAATAAAGGTTTAAATACTAGCAAGGGAGGAGGGGGGCTCCCTTACCGCTTCGCGGTCCAGTCCCTGAAGCACTTCGCATGTTCGAGCGTAAGCATGTAAGGCGTTACGCATTACTCTCATGATTTAATATTATTGAGTAAGACTTGCCAAATTGTATGAAAAGTACGAACCGTAAGGAGGTGGAGGCTCTGCACCAGGAGCAGTTACTGTATTGTTCAGTCTTTCGTTGTAGTACTGGCCGGTGGTTTTAGATTCCATGTTCAAATCGGGCGCAAAACCTTAAGAAGAGAAATCAGACATTGGTGGGAGGAATATTGAATAAATTGTAGGCATGGTCAGTTTATTCAGTGCAAAATGTAAAAAAATGAAGAAATAAAAAAAAGCCTTACCTTAGAAAATAGGTCAGTGAGGCTAAAAAAAATGGCCTGGGCATCTTAAGGTTGTCGTTCAAGCCCCTTTATCGACTAGGAAGTGGATGAAAGAAAATGAGCTATGAAGTTTAAAGTAGATCGCATAAAAAAAAAAAAAAAAAAAAAAAAAAAAAAAAAACATAATGACGGTGACAACCCGCTGTTTTTGGTTTTGCATTTTTGCCCTACAACACGTGAATATACATGTATGTTCATTCATTTAATTTTACCACTAAAATCAAAGTTCATAAGCTTGCAAAAAAACTCAATGGAACTTGTTTTTGTTACTCAAATTCTAATTTTCGAAACTTTGTGGCTTTGGTAAAGTGTGAACAGGGGCTCGCTGCTTTGCGACCATCCTGTTATTTACAAATCCTAATTTTTGGAACTTTGTGCCTTCAGATTTGATCTCGACAAAGTGCAGACAGGGGTTCACCGCCCTGCGACCATCTTGTTACTTACGATATTCGGGCCACATCTACAGTGTTTTTCTATCTCTGTTCACAAATCTCTGATTTAATGCCCATGGCGAATATAAATATGTGGAGAAATAATGCAATAATATATCCAATTGGTATGATTAGAAAAAGATGCGTTTTTGAAAGGTATATACACGTACCGTATGATGGTGCTGTCGGTATTTGGCTGTTACCATCGTGACCTACTTTGGCATCTGTGGTGGGTGCTGAAACATTTGAAAAAATTGCATGTATAAAAAATTACTATTTTTGTTTTTTACCCACTGGAGTAACAATCGGAAGATAATAGTGGATTCTCTTATCGACAATTTTAGATTAAGTATGTGGAAGAGTGAAAATAAGTGAGAAACAAATTGGAACGTATGGTTAGTTTTCCCCTACAGAAATAAAGGGATGGGCCGACAATACGACATTGCAATTTGAGATAATTATGCAAGCAGTTTTCGATTTCACCATCGATTTTTTCTGTGCCTGAAGAGTTTATGAAAAGTTTTGAATGAGTGGATTCCATAGACAAAAGATCCTCCTGTAGCCTCGTGGCGACGCTACAGTCACTCCTTTGTTTGTTGTCATGCCATTCGTTGATATTATGTGATTGGAAAATTACACGTTGAAGCGATGAACATGTATTAAAGATTTTACACGTATCAAATTATTGCTATTGGTGTTGGTATGCCATTCTAGATGATCATATGTTCTTATGAGTTGATGAAAACTTTAGGGCAAACTAATTTAATAAGAAGGTGCTATGTGCTTCAGATTCGCATGCCTCATAGTTTCTTCGATTTTATTCCCTCTCACAAACTTCCTTACAGCCATGGGCGTAGCTAGGGGGGCCTGGGGGGCCTGCGCCCCAGAAAAACGGGATCCTCCATTCCTCACCCCCCCCCGCTCTCTTCACCACGAGAGGTGGTCCCATGCCGCCCCCAGAGAAATTTCCTAGCTACGCCCCTGCTTACAGCATAAACTCTTTGTTAGATATGAATATGATTAAAATTGATCACGGCATTACCATCGAAGTGGATCTTCAACGGGATCTCGTTTTACCTACCACGTAATATGAAGGCGGCTTGCAATGAAAGAAGTGATCATACTTAAAACTAAGAATTCACGGAATTCTGATTTTGGTGTGCCTTCTTTTTTTAAGGTGGGCAAAACGAGCCTCTAGGAGCATCGAAATCCGAGAGACATCAATGGTCCGCCCAAAAAAAAGAGGGGTTTTACTACTGTCTGAAAATCAGGAACCAGAATATTAGTATATGATACATGTCATATCTTTGCCTACCTAAAAAACCCAAACTGGAATTCCTTGGATTCTTAGTTCGATCTATTTCATTGCTGTCCGCCTCCATATTACGAAGTAGGCAAAACGAGATACTGTTGAAAGGTGCACTTCAATAGTACTCCCATGAAACTCATACAATCAGTTAAAAAAAAATTTCGGAGGAGATACGAACCATATGGAGGTGGACGGTCCAATACAGACACCAAATAATCGTTATTCTCACTGTGCAGACTGCCGCTGCTACTTCTACGTGCACTCATATCGGCGTCTGAAAAAAAGGAAAGTAAGGGGGGAAAATTAACAACTTCCTCACGGCAAAATAGATTTGCTGTGCTAATCACAAAACCATGCTTTGGTGGTAGAATTTTATTAGCGAAAAATAATGAGACTACTCCTTACGCTAGATTTCTACGTTCGGTATACGACAATCGACGTCATTCAATGCGATTTGTAGTACCTAATACATAGCTATTTTGAAATAATGAAATCAATGACATTGACATTCGGATTGACAGCTGCACGTACATCACTAATGATTTTGATTGAACCAAGGTGCGAAAGAAACCATAATACACTTTAGACTGTGATGGATGGCGTTAAATCAACATGTTCATCAAAGAATGATGCAGAATAAAGTATAATCCGTTATACACGATGGCTCTTCAAAATGTACTTCTTCAAATGCAGAGGATTCTCACAACAAGAAGTATTAAGATTAACTTGTATGAAGGGCATAAATAATTATAAATATCATCAGTCAACTGAGAAAAACATGAGTGATGTCATTTTTATGATTTGTATCCTATTTAATCATTGTTAAATCGCCTCCTTTTGGAAAAAAAAAAAAATATCACGGACGTTATTCTCATTGAAAGTGGCATAAGATGGTTGTTCTGAATTCCTCCGATACCTTAAAATACCTATTTAAGTTAACAAAAGAAAATTAGTTAAATATTTTAAAATGATTTTTTATCATTTAAATGACAGTTATCAATCAGAGTTTCCAAAAACTTAATGGTGGTATCAAGTTGAATTACGCTGACTCTTCCAAGAACTAATCGCGCCAAACACGATGCGGTCAAAGCGGAACGCATATTAGCGCCTACCAGACTGTAGGAATACTTCACGCATTGCGCGTACACCACGGCGCGAATCTTCGAAAATTCACAATTTCTCGCTGCCGGACCTACTGCGGTATACACAGTTTTTCCATTTCTGACCAATGCACACCGCAAGCCTGAGGTAGTACCACAATTTTAGGGGATAACCCCTCACACTTTTTTTTCCGTGTCGATATGAGGGAGGAAACCAGGTCATGAAAATTGATCGCGGGAGGGAATCAAAGGATCAACTATTTTGCATCACAATTTTCCCTTTCTATTTATAGCGGTAAAAACCATACGAACCTAATTGAGTGCAAATTGCGGCAACTGTTGTCGGCGACAATCGCATACCCCGGGTTGCATTCTCATCTGTCAGGTCAATACGAGTAGTTCCACTCATAGTAACTGAAAAGTAATGAAATCGAAAAATGATTCGAATTTGAAAAAGACGTCACTACATCTCAAAATCCCGTGAAAAAATCCGGAGGGAAATGAACTCCGGAACCTATGCTGCTCCCAAACAACAGGCGGGGCGGAATCTACATTTTTGAGGAGTATGTGTTTTTTCCCCTCATTTTGCGCCCCGATAGAGCGTCATCAATTCTTTCGCGGAATCAACTCTGTTCTCGCGAAGCGGATCTCACTTTGACTGCGTGCTCACTTTGGCATCATCCACTGCCAAATTTAACTGGACAATTTAATTATTCAAGAGAACGTCTGTGCGGATTTTTTTGAGAATCTTAAGGAATTTGCGTCGTATTATGCAGAAAATTCACTGAAATTTGCACGAAAATCCGCACACCCGTTGTCATGTAAACAATTAAATCGCCCGGTTAAATTTGGCAGAAGCTAATGTGCCTTGCTGATCGCACTGTGTTTGGCGCAATGCGTGAAGTGTTCCTGCAGTCTTGTAGGCGCTACGGTTCCCTTGTGCTTAATGCGGTCTCATTTTTTAATCATATCATTCGAGCTTTTTCGGAAGCATGACAGGTTTCGGAGTAAAATGCACTCCGGATTTTAGTGGCATTACAGGCATCCCCGCAAACCCCGCTATGCAGGGTGGTTCCTCGTTTGCAGATTTTTTCCTCTACATTTTTCAATTTCAGATTCTTTGACACTCCCCCCTCCCCTTCCCAACCTGTTTCCCACTGTCAGCCTCAGATAAAAACAATTTTTGGACGTTTCCTTTTTTCTTTTACAAATTCTGAAAATAGCATACAGAGTCTCTTAGAGTCATACTTAATACATCGCAATGAGTCATTTATCCATATACAAAACACTGGGACAGAGGCGGATTCAGCAATTTGGCAATCGTCATTTCAACCTATGTTAAATAATCGATTCTTGTCGGAGCACCTGGCCCCTCAAAAAATCGATACATTTCCATAGATTTAAATGGAGAAAAACAACGTTACCAATTTGCTGGATCTGCCAATGCATCGGGGCCATTCATCGCATCGCCTATAAAACTGTCATTTGAGCACTCATTTCAGAATTTTGAGTACCTTAAGGGGATTGGTGCTATCAGTAATTCAGAGCGCAACGAAAGAATACGGTATTTCCTATTTGCCTGGATGACGCAAACTAAGTGAACAGAGATTAAGGAGTGTGCACTACCTGGACTACATTTTGCAATGGAAGCCATTAATTCTCATCGGTAAAATAACGTATCTGGATAGAGAACTTAATGACTTGTGTGCTGTTTTTAAAATGAACCGGTTCCTGATTGCGAAATGTGGTTCAGTTTGTTTTCTGACAGAATAGCGACGTTGCTTTTGCTGCTAGAGGAAACTTATCGTGAGGTTATTAAAAAGTAGTGCACCTCCGCCAACGCGGTGTTTACAAATGTCTACTCTTTATTTATTTTTTAAATTTTTTACTCCAACTTTTATGCTTGTGGCAGTTTTTGAAGGTCCCGAAAAGTCTCATCAAAAAAATAAAAGCCCCGGCAGGACCATTTTTACTGACAATTTTATAATAAAATTTTCATACTACTTTTTCTGTGCGTGTTACTTTTTTTTTATTTGCGCAAAATTACGAGTACAAAATGCACTTTTAGACATATATCATGTCTTTAAAAAGCTTGGTTAATCTGTAAGTATAAACTTAATTATTTTTACAATTTTTAAAAATAATAAATACTACCTTATTGTAACAAGGAGAAAAATAAGTGCGTCTTACTATCATAGAAGAAAACATTTCTGTCTGAGAACGATCAAACGGAGATATTTTAGAGTCTCTTTGTGGGTAAATGATCGAATTTTAAGGGATAGCGAAAATCTTGCAACAATAATGAGTATAATCCTCAAAATGAAACATCTTAAGAAACAAAATCGATGATTAGTCATTTCTTTACTTCCGTTGAGTTTTCAAGATATCTCATTTACAAACCGATCTCTAGAGTCTTTTTTGCCCCCTGAATTAGTTTCGTCCCAAATCTCAGAAAACTTGTTTGCTACCATTGTCGAACCTAACTGACACCCCCCCCCCCCCCATCGACTATCTCGCACTTTTTTCGCCACACCTTATTAGTTATTTGCTTGAACAATTTCTTTTTTTGCGGGATAACGGACTAGGAGTTGTTTCTGCATGTTTTGCCGTTTTTCATCTCACCTAATGATATTTTCACCCGATGAATTTAAGCTATACATGCACAATATATGAATGTACGGCTCTAAAATAATAATGAGTGTCTATAAAGGAGCCAAGTTTGTTATTAATTCTGAAAAATGTCCCTGAAGCGATGCGCTCTTAAGAGAGGAGTGGCTCAGATCGTCGCTTAGCAGTGGTATTGCGTTTTAGTTTCATGTCGTCACTCGTTTTCGAAGTATTGATTAATCCAGGAAGTTAGCGCGCTGACAAACGTTGTAGACCCGGAACACACGTTAATCCTCTTTTTTGCGCCAGCGTTAGTTATAAATTTGTGTTCAAGAAAGTTTAAATTTGCGTCCTTAAAATGACAACAAAGCAGAAACTACATTTAAATATGACGTATATTTGTTTGGTATTTCCTTCGATCGAGTGAGGTGGACAAAAACTGATATCTCGGTTGAAAATGTGTAACTAGATAAAATTTTGAAACTTATAAAACGAGAAAAATATGTTTAAAGTGGCTACATGAAGAATCTGCTTGTTTTTTTTCTTTTTCTTTGGGAAAATGTTTGGTGTATAATTTTCCGCAAAATAAGACGTTTATATGTATAAATCATTTTAGAATGAGTTTACGAAAAAAAAGGAAAAAATAACATGCATCCAGTCGGTGGCACTCCGGCAAGTCCATTTCTCGTGGGTTCTAATAGGTTTTACTGAAGAGTAATCTTTAAATTACTAAGATGAAGAATTACGTTAGTGAAATGTGACATCCTGAAATTTCCAATAATATAGAGCTCGTTTCATATCCTGTGTATCTACTTTTTGTTCTTTTTCACGGAAAAAGATGAAATGAAATAAGTCAGTGAATGATTTTTACTGAATTTGAACCGAAATTGAACGTATGCTTAAAAAATCACCGGCCAATGACTAAGATCAAAAATAACCACGAAGCACGCAACGTCTTTGTACTTAGTTCCTTTTCATCTTATTTACATTCGATTTTGTCAGGAAAACGTGGGTAAAAAAATCCCATGATTAGGTAGCCAGCACAAAATGAATAACTACATAAAATGTACCTCTTTTGAGCGCAGGAGATCGTGATTCAATAAAAATACGATGCTTTGCAAAAAATATCTACTCACCCTGGCGCTTAAAAATTTTGAGGTTATTTATCTTCGAAAACCGCAGATGTTAGACGAACTTTAGAAGCACTGTTTCCGGAATCCTGTCGTGAACAACACGGCGTCAGTCCAGCGACAATACACGCATGCACATATCCGAGACCTATCTTAAAGTACAAGATAAGCGGATGATACTTACACAGTAATTTAGAGTGTGCGGCTTTGCTCTCTATGAGCAATAGCAATCTTAAGAGGGGTGAGTCAGCCAACACATGCCCCCTTCACGCCGCCGTGGCGCGCCGCGCCCGTTAAAAATATACGCAAACAGCCCCCCGCCCCCCTCCCCCGTCCCATTCTTGGTGGGGGCAAACATCCCAGGCGCGTCACGAAGGTCAAGAGACTTCGTGACGCGAAAGTTCCCGTGTGACGTCACATTTCAGCTTCCATTGGTTGGATGGCAGTAGGTGGCGGTAGGATGGCGCTGTAAGCGCGTGTAGTATGTCTCCTGGTGCCGATTGTAAACTTCAGGATTAGAGCTGAAAAAATGGTCACCGGTGACTCAAGCTTACACCGATGGCTTGGAATGGACAAATTTGATTTTATTTTCACTCGTGCCACACACGTGCACGAATCGTGGTGTCGCACAAAGGATCGAGTCACTAGGAGAGATCGGACAAAATTTGGAAACTTTAAAAGCTAATAACTCCGTTTATTCAAAACTTTGAGGTTCTGAAAGTGGTTTCATTGATTTTCTCGTAAAATTGTCTTATTAAGGCACCCCTTGAAATTTAAAATGTGACAAAATAAACATCAAAATTTGCATTTTTAGTCAAAAATTTCATGCCCGACCTCTCTGCAGATTGACTGAATCCACTGTGTGTCGTGTGTTGACTTAAGTTCTCACTACTTCCGTTCGTGTGCGCATTCTCGGAAATATGCGCACTGACCGATAGAGGAAATTCAGAGAGAATCATGAAGAGGAATTCCTTAGAGTGATTGGATGAAATCACTGTTTACAACTTCAAATAGGTAAAAACTATTTGTAACTTCACCGGCTGAAGATTTACAATCCTTGATTACTCCAGATAACGCAATATCACGGAGAAAAAAGAATTTTTCTCTCCTATTGTGCAGTGTTCATTGTGGATTTCAGATCCAATCTGGATAATATTTTCTACCTTTTTATCTCAATTTATTAAAAGTTCTCTTCAATAAAAAAAACTGAATTAATAAAACATATTTAAATTGTAAAAACATTTTCCACTGATGAAAGTTCCTATCGTCGAAAATATATATTCATTTCCTGTAATATTTTACGTAGATTTAGAAAATCCTATAACTCACCTAGCAGCTTATGACTGTTTTTGACAAAAGAGATGAATCCTTTGCACTTGACACATAATTTACGTCTCCTATCTCTCCAAGTTCTGACATACTGGGTCATTGTATTACTGCGAAGGAAGCTGCGAAATTTTCGCAGTAAAACGTTTTTGAAGGTACTGAATGTGCCTCGGTAAAATTACCCCAGCGATATGACCTTTCTTTTAGTGCAGCGCTCATTAAAAAGATAAATGTCGAGGAAAAGCTGAAAGAGCTGTGACTGGGACTACTGAAAGCCCCGCGTCAGGTTTAACGATATAGTTAGTGATTTCTATGAGAAATATGCTTCGCAGTTTTAGATGCGCCGAGGAAAACTCAGTTTGCCGGAAAGTCAAGTTAAGATTCACCGTCTCCGACTGACTGCCGTGGTATTGATTCTTCATCGCGTTGATACAACTATTCCTGCTCTGTGGATGTCTAAGTTGCATACCCAAATAATTGAAGGCGCACCGAACTCCGTTTCTCGCGCTGCTCTCAGTGTTCGCCTAAACGCGCATTTCCTTCGTTTAGCTTCACTATTTCCTTGATGTGTTCTACAATTGACATTCATAAGTTGCAGCAGCACATCTTTAGAGCGCACGAAACAAAAAACGAACCTAGAAGGTTCTACACCAGAAGCCAAAAATTGATGACGGATTTCGCCAACAAGACTATATTTATGCTGGAGTGATCACAACGAGGTTTAGATTGATGCCTCAAGTTACTGAAAAAAATTTTTCTGCCGAGCAAATGAAAAACATCGTTTGAGCATTTGAATGTTACCAAACTTTCCCTAATAAAATGCGTATTTTTGAAGCAAGCTATGAGTGTTTTTCCTTGAAGTTTCCAGACATTTCAGGACAAATTGCGAGTAAAATCGTCTACAAAATTGAAAAAAAGCATTCACAAGCTCCCTGAATATTTATATTTTATTATTTTAAAAAATTAAGGAAGGAAGAAAGAAAAAAAAGATAAAAAGAAAGAAAGGAAGTAATATAAAATTGGTAGCAACCGGAGTCTCAAACTACGTTCTTTGATACTGTGGCAGTATATGGGGTCATTTTACTTTAGAGACCATTGCTCTCAGATGTTTTAATATAGTTTTAAAGAAGAAACCACCAGCTAAAACTCCTTGATAAGAACTTTCCACACCCCCAGAATTTCATCAGAAAGTCATATACTTCAGTTAGTCTGAAAGTAGTGATCTGAGCAGGGATCAAAGTTTTCCATTTTCGGAAAATATTTCGCTCGAAACATCGTATTGGCCCTCAAAAGGGCCGTTTTCATAGCACCATCACGAGTAGTAGTCGGAAGCAGGAGCCTGCTTTGGAGTTGATGTTGCAGGGTAGTGGAGGCAAGTATCATCGTCATCTGCCGTTGGTATCTCGAACTCGAACCTCGTGAGCGCGAGCTCGGCTTCTACCACTGCTTGCTGCGCGTGCGACTCAGGAAAAACCAACCTCACAGCGTCCAGGACGTCTCGTGGCAACATCGTTTTCCGTCGGCCAATTCGCACGAGCTCCCCCGCTTTCGTGGCCAAATGCTCGAGCAGATCGCTGATAATATCGCTCATCACTATGGCACCTCTCCGAGTGATGCTCATTCTTGATCTAGGATGGATCGACTCGTCCATCATGAATCTGCGAATGTACGTCTCGAAGGGGGCACGCTTCAATTGAACAGATTTACGGCGCCTGCGCCCTGAAAGGTTACACGCAGCATCCTGGTCCATTGTGATAACCTATACCCACTGATATTGGAATTAGGAACCGTAGCATCGCATGGTTGTAAGGCAAATAAACCCAGATCTATGTATGCTTTGTTTTTATACAGAAGTAGAGTCTTCAAACCAACCAATCATGACCGAAGGTTTCTAGCACGTTACCTTGTCAACTGGACCGCGTTGAATAGAAAAGAATCAAGCCACGTCTGCTATTGCCAAATTTAATCGGGCAATTTAATTTTTTACATGAAAATGGTTGGCGGATGTATGTGCCAATAGTGAATTTTCTGCATGGTACGAAGTAAATTCCTTAAAATTTTCAAAGGGATCGCACAAACGTTCTCTTGTAAAAAATTAAAATATCCTGTTGAATTTGGCAGTAGCTGATGTGGCTTGGACCTCTCCGCTAAACGCGGTCCAACTGTGATGATGAAGTAGCGTTTTTTCTGAACTTATTCGGAGGGGGGGGGGCTGTAGAAAATTTGGGAATTTTGAAGCATTTGATTTGCAGTTCCAGTCGATGGATAATTTCCAAATATTAGCGGTTTTTCTTCTATTTACCTTCGTTTCTTTTTTCCTCTCTTCATTCTCTCCTTCCTCCCTTTTTTCAGGCGAACGAGGAGGGGGGGGCACGCCCTCTATGACCTAAATTCAAGCTGAAATCTATCCGCGCCGAAATCTAAACCAATCTCCGCTGAAATTCGAGTGGAATTTATCGGGAATAAATCTGGTGGAATTTATTTCTATCAACGACATTCCTTTGCCCCTTTGCCGAGTCCCAGTCTCGAGAACCCTCGAGTGTGGAATTTGTGTCTATCAACGACATTTCTCAGACCACCAAAAGCTCCTTAATCGCTGAAATCCTAGTTTATCGCCGAGTTCGATTCTTGAGCACCCCTGAGTGTGGAATTCATGTCTATCAACGAAATTCCTTGGCCCCTTTGCCGGGTCCCAGTCTCCAAATTCCACGACCGTGGAATTTATGACCATCAGTTACATTCCTCAGCCCACCGAAAGCTACTCTTCGCTGAAATCCTGGTTTATTGCCAAGATCGGGTCTTGAGAACCCCTGAGGGCGGCCCGACATTTTACCCAATTTTGTTTGATCCAAATTTTTCACTGTCCATTTACAAAGTTAGTCAAATTCTTTTTTTGTGTGCAATGCTCTATGAACCAATAGTTTACTGAGTCCGGTTATAAGCAATGGGATAGGTGCTGAGATTTTGCCAAATAATGGAATATAACCCTTGGATGCCCAAGTCGGGTCAAATTTATCCAAGGATCGCTGAAAACACGAAATATGCAGATTCTATGGGGCTGGTACATCCGAACTGAGATGTAGGTCTACAAATACATCTCAAAAAAGAACAAGACATCAAATTGAAAATAAGTACACAATTGAAAATAGGTACAAAATTAAATATTAACACAACCGAGGATAGGAGAGACGTTTTTGGGTCTGGTTTTTATAAGTTTTCTCCCGAACCAGAGCGACAATTGATTGACAGCATAGAGCGGAGCATTGCGAGCTCACGTCACGTCTCGCTCCATAGCGCCTTCAATTTTTCAGACGCAACACGGACATCCATCAAGTACGAATAGTTGTATCCCTGCGCCGTCATCAACGCGCGACCTTTCCCTAGCTCTGTTCCCATGTTGTGTTGGTTCCGTTTGTCTTATTTGTAGCGGTGCTTCAACGGCTACGTTAGCAAACAACCGAAAATAGGAGAGATGTAATCGGACCAGTTTTTGACCTTTTCTCTCGAATCCAAGCAATACCTCATTGACGGCATAGAGCGGAGCATTGCGATTTCACGCACTCCGCCTTCAATTTTGCAGATACAACACGGACATCCATCAAGCACGAATAGTTGTATCTCTGCGCCGTTATCAAAGCGAGTCCTTTCTCTTACTCTATTTCCATGTTGTGTCGGTTCCATTTGTCTTATTTATAACGGGGCTTAAAGGGCGATGCGCGCAATACAGCTAGAGTATGACTTGGATTAAAATAGTCGGCCAAACTAGGTATCGGGTGAAAAAAATTGGGTTAAGTGTCTAGCTTCCCCCCTGAGTGTGGAATTTATGTTTATCAATGACATTATTCAGCCCGCCGCAAGCTCCTAAGTTTGGAATGAATGTCGATCAACTACTTTCCTGAGCCCCCTAGCAGAGTTCGCGTCTTGAGCACTCCTGACTGTGGAATTTATGTTTATCAACGTCATTTCTTAGCCCGTCCAAAGCTCCTTTTACGCTGAAATTTTAGTACATCGCTAGGTCCAAGTCGAGAGAACCCCCTATTGTGGACTTTATGTCTATCGACAACAAACCTCAGCCCGGTAAACTTTGGTTTCTTAGTTCTGTCTTGACCCCATTTCAGTAAACTTTTTTGAGCACTTCTTTCTCTCTACCTCTTTTCCCCCGCTCCCCCTGTTTTCCAACTCTTATTTCTTTGATTAGCCGGGGGGGAGGGGGGCATGCCACCAAGCCTTCTCCCCCTCTCCAGGATCCGCCACTGTACACATTGTTCACTTCAATAAGCTTTATAGGGCGCGTATGCAAATAAGTTGGAACTTAAAAGTTCTATAATTTCAAGTTTTGAAATATTTCAAACTGTAATTTTTATGATATGATATTTCTCTGAAATTTTCCACACAGTTTTCTTAAATTATTCTAATTTTAACCTCGCCTGCCTAAACTGTTTCTTACTAATTTCGCTCAAATTTAAAATTCGTTTTTTAAATAAGATAAAATCGCCAACTCAGCAAAAATGCTTGCGGCGGTAAAATATGTCCTTTTCGAGCCGCTGGCTACTTCGATTATTCGGACAAGAAATACGAACAGAAATTGATCGAGAGCGGAAAGCTCGTAACCATGGTGTTCAAAAGCTCGCACAATATACAGCGAAGACCAAGAGGTAGAAGACGTTCAGATGCCAAGCTTCATGAAAATATAGCACTTTCGACAAATGCAAGGAAAAACCACCGATCTCCGGAGGTTTCTGTGGGGAGTTAATGGCTTTTCTGTCCGCTCAGCTTACTCACCATCTGGCACCCTTTTACGAACGAAAGAAGTCCTCTGTGCTTGAACAAGTAATGCGATTGGTTGGCCCTCAGTATCGCGTTCCCTATAAAAAGAGGCCCCCTCGCGCGCTGCGCTCATTCCTCAATAACTATGCGCCTGAGACGTTCGAATGTGGCCTTTCGGTAAGAACTCTTCTAACATGGACGAGATGAGGCACTGCCCGATGCCGGGCGCCATGCCCGCCAAGCGGAAGAAGGACAGGATGCGGCGGCAACCGTTCGAGATCTACGCGCACAAGATGGTTAAGATGATGTTCTCGAACCGGAGCATCACTCGGAAAGGGGCGCTGGTGATGAGCAGCTTCATCCACGACTTCTTCGAGCGGCTGGCCACCGAGGCCGGGCACCTGGTGCGGATCAACCACATGCAGACGATGAGCCATCGCCACGTCCTCGACGCCCTCAAGTTGGTCGTCCGTGGCTCCCTCGCCGAACACGCTATCGCGGAGGCGCACCTCGCGCTTGGCAAGTTCGGGCCGGCGACCGGTCGGGCCGCATGCAAGCCCCCGACTCCGCCGCCGAAGGATGATGATTGTTGAAATAGCGCCCACTTTGAAAACGGCCCTTTTAAGGGCCAATAAATGCTGAATCTCAATCGGGAATGAAACAGGTCATATTCGTATAAGAGAGCCTTTATAGGGAGAATATGGACGCCTCGAAAATTTTGGAGTTAGGTTTGATAAATCAGGTCATGTAGCTCTTGGGGCCCAAAAGTTATGGGAACGCTGAGTCTCAGTCGGAGATAAAACGGGGTCATATTTGTATAAGAGTACTTTTATAGGAAGTATGGACGCCTCGAAAATTTTGGAGTTAGGTTTGATCAATCAGGTCATGTAGCTCTTGGGACCCAAAAGTTATGGGCCAAACCTATGAGCTGGACCGAGTTTATCGGAAAGGAACCAAGCTACATCAGCTATCGCCAAGTTTAACCGGGCAATTAAATTTTGTATGAGAGAACGTTTGTTCGGATTTCTTTGAAAATTTTAAGGAATTTGCTTCGTATACCGTGGAGAATTTTCGCTGAAATTTGCACGAAAATCTGCACAACCGTTTTCATGTAAAAAATTAAATTGCCCAATTAAATTTGGCAACCCTGGTAAAAATTGGCAGTAGAATCTGTGTTCCGAAATACCATCGACCTATAGCCGGCTGTAAGATTTCCAATAGCTTCTTATGCTAGGACTTAGTGAGTTTTTGGACTACCGATCTCTTTTTGGGCCGCAGTATCTTGATTTAATTTGCGAGGAAAGCTCCGTTCTTATGAAGGATGCCTGACATTCCTATTATGTTGAAGCGCCTTCAATTTCGTATGATACTGTGCAATACCTCTGGTGTGAAATAGTTGCTTCAAGCGCCGCGGTACGCTGCGGCGCGGCGCGGCGGGCGGGCAGCCAGCGCTGAACGCGCATTTGGCGCCTGCAAACCTAACAGGGATACTTCACGCATTGCGCTATGCGTGAAGTATCCCTGTTAGGTTTGTAGGCGCCGGTGCGCCGCCGCTCCGCTTTGTGTTAGGTTCTAATATTTAATCTCGCGGAGTCAGCGTTTTTCAACTCATGACTTTGAAATGTTTGCACACTCTGCATGGATTATTCTCATTTTAATTGATGAAAAAAAAAAATATGTAGCATAGGAAAATATAATGTGCGTTTTGTAAATATTGAGGTGATTCCGTACAAACTTAAGGATTTACAAAGCACAAGAATTTCTACTCAATTTCTTATAGCCTTTTATAGCCAATGGCGAAAAAGCAACAGCCAGGCGATAGAGTGTAAAGCCCGGCGATAGGAACTATAGCCCGGCTGTATAATTTTTTATCGCTTCGTGTAGCCCAGCCGTATGATATTTTCCTCTTTCTACAGCCAGCTATATGATTTTCTATCGCCCTCTTCAGTCGGCTATAAGAACTCCTATAGTATTTTGAAACGCAGCTCCTATCGCCAATTTTTACCAGGGAATAGCTGATGTGGCTTGGTTCCTTTCTGTTTAACGCGGTCCAACTCGAACTACATCCAGTAGCACTAATTTTCATAATTCTTGCTACCCGCCGTTTCATAACCGATCAAAAATTATAAAACTTTGATTTCGCATATATTTTCTCAGTTTCAAAATTTTAATCCTTAAAGACGCTTGTTTACAATGCGCAGTCGGCCGTATTTGATTAATATTTCAAATGCATAGGTTGGCAGCGGCACTTTTCTGGATTTTCGTTTTACACTTTGTCGCCCTTTTGGGCCCAAAGAAAGAGCAACATAAATCGATTTGTCCATACTGTCCCTATAAAGGTACTCTAATTTGTATGGATTCGGAGGGATTGTTTAAATAGTGGGTTACGGCTGGTATCTACCAACTCCACGTGGTCGGAAGTAACATCTTCAGTGGCTTGGCCGCAAGGGTCACCCTGCGGGTCGACTAATTGAAACAGTGGCGTGGCGTGAATGAACGATTGTCGGTATCTCGCCATTTGAAGCTATGGTAAATAATCGATTATTAAAGTGTTCGCTGCGAACACCCTGTCTATCGATCCTTTCTCATAGTTTTAAATGGCAAAGCAATCGATATATCGCAAAGCACGCCACGCCACTGAATTGAAAGTTTAAAGCAGCCCAATGAAACACCGAAATGAGANGGGGGGGGGGGGGGGGGGGCTTGGAGGCCAAGGCGCATTAGGGCAATTTTTGCTATCTCGAGAAATAAGTGTTTGAAGTTTCGAAAATACATAGACCCTCATGGCGGAAAGAAAGTTCATGCTGAATTTTTGATGCTTAAAAATTGGAATTCGGGAGCGACTATTTTTCACAATACATTAAGACCAGTTTTACTTGAAATCATTAATAACTCAATTACTTCAAAAACTGCTTAGATGCGCCTTGCTCTCCAAGCCTCTCATATATCGCTCAGATAAGAACAAACTAGGTCTGTCGGACCGACATAGTTTCAATAATCGGACCACTGGTGGCTGGTCGCCTTTTATCGGCACCGCTGCCGTATAGGTATTTGAGGGGCCGCCCTTCATGGGGTAGTGTTTCGGCACCCTTGTTTGATGGCACTGTGGAGTAAATTTTTCCCCTCGATAAAAAAAGGAAAAAAAAAGAAGCAAAAATATTTAAAACTGTTTCTGTCAACTTTTTCCTGTCTTGAATACCTACCCGAAGTGAATGTACAAGAGAGAGGAAATCGACGGTGTAAGTCGGCAATCACATAACTCGTTTTCGGTGTCTGAAAATCTCCGCCTCCATGTTATTTTTTATAAGAGAACAAATTGACATCATTCCTTGAAGTTTCTGCAGACTTTTCTTCGCACAGAGAAGAAAAATCACGAGTATTTTAAAGAATTGCCGTTGAGTAGTTTTCCGTTTAAAAAATGAAGTATGACAGGAAGTCTGCGACGTCGCTAACCGAGTTATGTGATTGCCGACTAACTACTGTGCACTTACTATACTTTCAAAAAATGGCTTTTTACCGCACGGGAAAAGATTACTAGAATGACGTGCGACGTGTGAGGTCGCCTTAAATTTCAGCGTATTCAACACAGGTTCCCACGTGGTTGAATAGTGGCAGCTCATGGCAAGCTCAATCGGAATCCCACAAATTAGAGTTTTATGCTAAACGGGAAGGAAGACGTTAGGTTAACGTCATCTCAGTTTGCCTACAATTTTTAGTCAAAAACAGGTTCGTTTTTATTTTTCGGTCGAATTAAATGTCCGTTAAAACAATTCTGGCCTCCTGGTTCCGCACTTCTCTTGCATTCCGGTTAATTAATGAAGTGAGCAATATTGCAATTAAAATTTCTGGCGAATCATGTAAACCCGTGACTTTAGTCACGAGTTCTTCGCCAGTAAAAGTATAAGCATGTAGAACCAGAGGAGAGGGCATTTTTGCCAAGCTTCAGTCAACCGCTGAAAACCGCATTTTTTTTTTTTTTTTGGTACCATGAATGTTTTTGACATGCGGTTCAAATTTTCGCTGAGGACCAATGTGATTCAACCCATAAATTTCAATCAAAAGTCGAAGTTAATATTACACAGAAAAAAATAGATGGTGCTGACGACAGAACCTTTTGTTCACACGGCTCCCGCGGTTTCTTTGTTACAGTCACTGAAGCTTCCGTTATGAGGACAGAATACTCTGTTCCCACGACTGAATTTCTGTCCTCACAACAGAAAAATTCTGTAAGAGTAACAAAGAAACTGTGGGAGCCGTGTAAACAAAAGGTTCTGTCGTCAGCACCATCTATTTTTTTCTGTGTACCGGGCGGTCATTGGAATACAGCGATATGCTATTTCTGCACCAAGACTATTGAGGCCTGGAATGACATTAGCCGCACCTATTAAAAAAGTCCCCCTCCCCAGAAAAAAAAATTCATTACAGCCAGTTACCAATCATACTTAGACGAGGAAATGACGGCATCTTTCGCCTTCAGATTTTAGTTATGCAACACAAGTGCCATGCTGCACGGGTATGTACACTAGCGCCAAAAGAGAGACTGGCGAAAGTTGGTAGAAGTTAGGTAAAACAACCAGCAGAACCCATAACCTAAAATGTGCACTTTTGCACTTGCATTTTGAATTCGGAGTTCTAGCATCAGTTACGCGTTTTCGGATTCATTCAATTTCGGGGCGGTTTTTAATTTCTATCATCGGGTACAAGGAATGTGTTATTCATGCTGAAATGTGATGGCTCCTCCGAAGAAAGATGTGCGGAAAAATGCCTGGGCCTGGGCAGAAAATGCGCCCGCGGACTACGAAATATCAACGAATGATGTTTGTAAAGTCTATCGAATGGACATCCCCAAATGCATATTTGGAAGCTGCAAGTAAGTGTCATGCTACTTTTATCGATGTGGACGTCAGATTTCCTGGTGTCCCTCTCCTTATCGGACAAAGAAGAGCATTATGCAGTTCAGATTTTTATCCTGTCTTTCTCTGCTGCTCGCATCAAAAACTTGTCGCTTGCAACCTGCCTCGAAAGCCATGCAAGCTTTCGGAATCCGAATCTGGACGATAAAGTTTTTTCTCGATGAAATTGAATGATAAGCACTTCTCCTCCACAGACCCAAGGAGAGGGAATTACTGAATGTATTGCGATTTGTTCTCATGATATGTGCTGGTTATATGGGGGGTAACTTTCCCGCTCTTTTTCTGAAACGGTTGAAATATTAACGTGCAGAAAGTGTGAAGCAGTCACTTGCAATTCTTGAGGTATTCATTTTATCTCACAATTCAACAACATTATTTCACACTAAAGTAGGTTTGAGAGGCGATTGCTAAGACATGTGATGCAGGAAGGGGATATTATTGTCTGACGACTTTTCAATTCAATTCTTATCACCTGTTATCTATATCTCCTATGTGTAAAATCAGTTTTTTCTCTTCATTTATCTGTAAAATTGAATCAGTCTGTAAGCTGAGCACCAAATTGTGACAATTAAGCGGCAGGAACCAAAACTTAATTTGATTAATTCCAATTATGTAGAACAATAAATTCGATATTTAGACTCTCCTTTAATCATTCTATCCATATCATTTACTCACTAACACCACATGGATGGCGAAAGTAGCGAAGTGTGTATTCTTGACTGTAGAGTAGAGAATCTCTACTCATGTTTTAATTATTCAAAGTAAACTAACGAATATTTTTCTTGAAAATTTGGTCAGTTGATTTTACAAAGGTAAATAACATGGAACGTATTTAAATTTTGCAATGGAATCACGCTTCTTTCTACTGTATCCATCTTATTGAGTTTTGAATGACTTTTATATCTCAATTGCATATGTATACAACAATTGGCAAGTACAAAATCCAAATGATGGCAAAGGACACGACCAGCAAGTTCCGAAGTATATGTACCTACTTAAAAGTGGCGTTTCCATGTGAAATGTTCAATGCAATGTTGCACAAGCGTACAATTATTCTTTGGAGCCACCTGTACTGAAAACTGACAAATTTTAAATGTTTTTTGTATTTTCTCTCATATCCGTTTCTCATAGAAACCTCTTTTTCCAGGAGAAACTGTAAAAACAACCCTTTTTGTTTAACTGCAATTGGTGAGTCTCGATGGTTGAGCGATGTGCCTGAAACAGTTACTGACATTGAGGATCCAGCGGAAGAGAAAAGGCAGGAACGAAATTTTGTTGGTCTGAAGAACTTAGGTGCAACGTGTTATGTGAACAGTCTCCTCCAATTGTGGTTTCACAACAGTGCATTCAGGTAGGGTCTAATTTTTTGCTTTAAGTTTGGAGAACAGTTTTGAAAGGTTCTCCTGTAAAATCAAACTTCTGATGAAAAAGTTCGCCTTGGTAGGTTTTTCCAAATTTTTCAACTTCAAAGTGACATTTAAAGAATATTTTGCGTTAATGAATTCATATTTTTTTACTTTGGATGAAGCATGTACAGGTAACAGAAAATTTGTACCATTATTCATTGATTTTTACTTGAAATGTAAATTCAGAACTCTAAATTTAACAAATTTTTATTAAAAATGAAAACTTTTGTGTTAGCTGAGCAAGCATAAGAATATTTTTGGTTTCAAAATTGCACAAATGCGGAAAGAGTTACAACAGAGAGGTATACTTTTATCACAGGAACATATGACCCTTCCCATATATTAGAAAGCAGAGGAGTTTTCTACAAACATTTATGAAGAAAAACTGTTAAAGTAAGCAGGGGTGCTAAACTTGTTCAATCGAACGATCTGCAGACAGCAACTGAATGCTTGAACAAGTGTATCGACAATAAAACTACCAGATCTTGGTTTGGGACCTTGCAGACTTCCTTTCATACTTTTGTTTTTAAATGGGAAACTACTCAATGTCAGTCCTTGAAATCTTCTGTGATTTTTCTTCTCTTTGGTGGATTTATCCAGTAGGTAGCCGAGAGTTTATGAAGAAGGAGTACTGTATGAGGGATTAATGTAAAAATCTCGAAGTACATTATTAAGAAAATGACTATCAAGATGTGCAAATCTGATGAAGAGTGTGAAACTTTACATTTACTTGAATTTTCATTTACATCCTTTATGTCTGTAGCTCATTTTCCGTTTCTTTTTTTCTTTTCCTTATCAGAGAGGCAATATTTTCGTGGGATCCCACCCAGGACCCCAAGGAAAAAGAAAATCCTACTCTTGTCATTCAAGATGATGAAATACTTTTCACACCTCAGACTGTTGTCGGCCATCTGCAAGTCTTGTTTGCCATGTTGGCATTGAGTGAAAAGCGTGTTGTGGACCCAACAGACTTGGTAGTCTCTTTGGGTCTCGATACATCTGAACAACAAGATGCTCAGGTATCTCAACTACTTATTCTATTCTTACATATCTCAGTTTTACAGCTTTTAATCTTATTTCTTCCTTTTCACCGTCTTTTTTTTTAGCCCTCAAGAAGAGTTTTAATTGAATCAAGACACCAGTGTCTTCAATTTTGATGTTTCTGCCATTGACACCTAGGTCATTTTGGCGAAATTATCAAGCTTGGCCAAACATAATTTTTTTATATTTTACCATAACCACTGGTAATGCTTCCTTTTTCAAGCACTGGTGCCATTATATTTTTTGTGGTGTACTACCCTCGTTCAAACTACATCGTTGTTCTTTCCAGCAATCTAAGTACTGTTTTAGCTATTTTTATTTTTCTCTCTTTTTGATCGTCATCATTGTGCCATGTTGTCTCCTTTGTTAGTGTCCTTGTCCTGTCCTTACTCTTGTTTTTTTATTGGGAAATTTGTCCGAACTGAAACTTAAGATTTAAATATTTATGTCATTTGTTTATCTATTCAACAGCAGCTCAGAATGTGGAATGACCCACAACAGGACATGCATCATACCTAAGGCATGAATACTCTCCTCTTTTTTCGTTTTAACTTTTTTTTAAATTTTCACAGGAATTCTCAAAACTGTTTCTGTCATTACTGGAAGATAAATACAGGGACCAAATCAACCCATCCATGACCAACTTTATTCAACAGAATTTCTGTGGAGAGTACGCTTATGTTACCCGGTAAATATTATCATCTGTAGCATCCAGTTTTTTTAATTTTTATTCTTTATGTCTGTGAAGTGGGAGCCAAACTGTTACAAAGAACACAGAATAGAAAAGGAAGTATTGCGGGGAGAAGTTTAAAAGCAAAAAACCAAAAACAAACACGAGACGTTTCATCCAGTTTCCTGGGCATTATCATCCACAAAAAAAAAAAAAAAAAATGTTAAAAAAAAACAAAGCTATGAAGAGCTCATGGCGATAGGAGCTATAGGAAAGTAGACCAAGTCCTTGAACCTGGCATCCGCTCACAAAAATAGGCGACAAATCAAGATAGATATTCCTCCCATCAGAGGGTAGCATATGGCGGATAGAAATTTAATTAACTGACTACTGTTTAGTTCCGGTAGAGTAAGCTATAATACATAAATGATTATAATGATGTTGATAATTTGTGCGATTCTAGCACAGTCATCAGTCACAGCCAAGTGCACTTTTTTGACTGTATGACCTCTCTTCTGATGGTTGCGATTTTCCGTCTATGCATTCATGCATAGATAATAGTTGCTTGAACTACACATAGTGGCAGAAGGATTGCACAATTGACAATACAGATATTTTTGGATGCCATCTTGACTTTCTCGTTGATGGAATTTTAAATAGAAGCTCAAAATACGCAACTTTGAACTTATTTTTGGTGGGTGAATATGATTCAAAAGTATCTGAAATAAATTCTGTGAACTAAGTTCACTCTCTTTTTTGCAAAAATGCAACAGCTACAAATTACTGAACAAGCTCATTTCGATCAGTCTAAATCTTGATTGTTTTTTCCTGCAGGTGTTCAAAATGTCTAACAGAATCCACACGGTCTTCTCAGTTTTATGAGCTTGATTTGAATATTCTTGGTATGAAAACACTACGGGAGAGTTTAGCAGACTTCTTAAAAGAAGAAAAACTCGAAGGAGACAATATGTACTTCTGTAACGCCTGCAACAAGAAACAAAGTGCCGAAAGATTTATCAAATTGAAGCACCTTCCACCGACTTTGTGTTTTCAACTCATGAGATTTGTCTTTGATCGGTAAATTCTCAAAACCATTTGCTCCCTCATTGCCTAACTTAACCTTGCGAATTATTGTTCTTAACTCCTGCAGAACAAGATCGAAAGAAAGAATAATTTACAAAAATCCTAATAACATTTTGTAAGAGAAAAAAACCAGGCTATCACAATATAACTGAGACTCTAATAAATCTAACTAGGTGTAAGAATGTACCTGTAGACAAGGTGCAAATTTGTGCATTATGATACATCTTTTCTCATCAAAATTTTTTGTAGAATACAATTTATGCAACCAAAATTACTCAGAGTAACTGCAAACAGAGACACCAATGTTTTACGAACCATGAATTCAAACTTCCCACTCAAAGAAAAACCTTAATCCGCTTGAGTTAAATAAAATACCAAACGGCACTGTAACAATCTCTGTGATGTGAAAATGTGGCAACCTTAATCTTGATGCTTCAGCTCAGCTTTCATCTGTCTTTTAGACTTTGAACGACGCAAGGTGGAGAGGGAGCATTGTTTGATTTAGAAGCCTGTCAAAATCATTGTAATACAAGTTTTGATTCACATAAATTCCGGGTTTTTTTAGTAAGCAGGAAAAGGGGTCAGTTGCGCTGGTCACAGAATTTTGTTTTGATGCTTGATTCTCGTAGATCAGCTAAGTATTATAAGATCCATCCAATCAGAAACTTTCTACATCCAGTATTAACCGAGATATTGCCCCTTGAAAAGTTCGAGTTTTTGACGTCATCCTCTGCAGTAGTGACACCCTTGGTTTTTTCCACCTTGCTTTCATCCAAGTTTCACATTGAACAACCAGTGCATATGTGTGTCACACTGACTGACCTAAAGCAAGGTGTAAGAAACCAAGGGTGTCACTACCATACTGCCGTGCAACGCAAAAATGCCATAAACGACATTTTAAATTGTTTGCAAACGATGTATCATAGCAGGAAAAATTGTGTACCTTGGGACAATGGTTTTACAGAATTCTTTTGCAAATACTATCAAGAACTTGGCCTGAAAATTTGAGGTGCATGGGTAAAACAGTTTTTATTTTAGAAAGTGCCAAGTTCCAAAAAACGCTGGAAAATCTCAATGAATCTACTGCGCACTGCGTTCTTGCTTAGCATGACAGTGTAGTGGATGACATCAAAAACTTGACTTTTCAAGTGCTGAATTTAGAAAGTTGCTGTTTGAACAGATCTCATTATTTTTAAGTAATCTTGTAAGAATCAAGTATCAAAACTCGATTCTGTGACCAGTGCAACTGACCCATTCAAATTTTTTGTAACCACTACTGAATGAAAAAGTTCTCATCTTGTTTTGGAGTTAATTTCAGTAATTTTATGGAGTCTGTATTTGCAAATTTTGAAAGCGGAAACATTTATCAGGATACTTAAATTTTCGTCTTGTCTGGCATCCCACTGTAGTGGAAAAGGCAGACTCTTCCGCATTGAAGAATCAGTGATTAATTACAATCTCAACTTTGATAGCTTTTTAAGTAGGAGTGTTTTATCCGTTTTCAGTAGGCTATTATTGTTGGAACCATATTCTAGAAGTCGAAAGTTTTTTTCCAGACAAAAGCACTATTATCAAATGAAAGTCTAATTACCTTTTTGCTTTATATTTGCAGAGGAAGTTCCAAACGTGTTGAAACAGTTCCATAACATAAAGGCTGATGTGAGGTTTTCAAGTAAAAAATATTTTTCAGAGGAAGAGTGAAAAACCTGAAACACAGTCTATCATTTTTACTTTAGATTTTTTTCATACATTCCAGTGCCCCCCCCCCCTCTCAGGATAATGCATAAGTGTTCATTTCACAGTTAGGTATGATTAATTTTGCAAACAAGTAGCTAACGTTTTCTCTTAATTTTTAGGCAAAAAGGCAAGAAGAAAAAGTTAACTTCTCATCTCCAGTTCCCAGAAACAATTGATATGACTGAATACATTGAAAATTCTTCTGGACCCTATGTTTACAACCTTAGTGCAGTTCTAATTCATAAAGGACCAGGTGCTCATTCAGGACATTACATTGGTAAGTTCTCCATTTTTTATTGCATCAGGCTTGTACTGGTAGACACCTGAAGTTTATGAAGCGTATTGTGTATTCTGCTAAATTTGTTAATACCTAGGTTGCTCCAAAAGTATTTATCAAGCATATTGGATGAGACTTCATTAGCTCCAGTTGAATTGACAGTACATTGTGCCTAAGTACTTATACCTATAGATGCATAGCTGAGCGGTGCAAAAACTTCTCAACCATGCGACCAGTGCGTATTGGTTACAAGCGATAATGGGAAGGCCTCTACAGTGGGTTTGAAAAATCGGAAAGCCTGCACTTAAAATTGTAATAGCTGCAAATTTTCTGCAAAATTGAAGTGATAGTTGCTTGTCTCTGCAGAATTCCTGTGAAAATTACGTAATTTTTGCTAAAGGGAACTTTCTGCATCTCTTCGAAAGTTCTCTGTTCAACAAAGTTTCTGTTCAAAACTCTTCTGTTAAAAGTTTTGGCTTCAGCCAGAAGTTGAATGTCAATATACTTATTTCTTGTACTTTTTTTCATGATCAACTTCTCAAACAGTGTTCAATACTCACAGGCGCCAAATGCGCCCGAGATATCGGTCATGGCGCCTAAAAAATGAAGGCTCTGTGCCAACGTGGCCCCTAAAAATTGCCGCCCGTCTCCCCTTTCCTCTCAAAAAAATCCTAATTTTTCTGTTTGGTGATTTCTCAAAATCTCCTTTATATTATAGCTACCAGTTTTGTAAGTAAAACATCTTTCATCTAACTTTTCACTAAATGCGCCGTAATATAGGCAGAAAGTAAATTTGGCCCCTAAAAAATCTTCAATGGCCCCTGAAAATCTAGTTTCATGCGCCACATGGCTCCTAAAACTCAAAGGTGAGTTTTGAACACTGTTTTCAAACCATTCAGTTTTTATCATAATAAGTAATAACATTCCAGATTCAGTTTCCAATACAAGCCCATTAAACCAAGAATAGTCTGTTCTTTTCCCGAGAATAATTTTGCCCTAAACTTGTGATTTCAGCCCACATCCTTACTTCACAAGGTTGGTACAAATTCAATGATGAAAACATTGAAAACATGGATGGGAAGAAACTGAAATTTGGAGAAGACGACATGGATGGTAAAAACTTACTAAATTTATGTTTCTAATTAATAATAGCCAGATGATGTCTTGCTATAATTGATCATATTTATTCTCATGTGAGGGTTGCTAGGGCTTACACAAGAATGCAATTTGATCTACCATTACAAAAATCCAGCCTTCTGTCAATATCACATTAAAGGATAGATAATCAAATGAGATTGTTGGTTTATTTCTCGATAGGTATCTATTGAGTTGCCATTTCCCAAAAGTACCGTTTGGTTTATCATTGCAAAAATCTGAAGTACTGTCAATTTTGCAGAGAAAGAATTGATTATTAAACGGGATCCTTGCCTTAGTGTTTGATTTTTATTTAATTTGTTGTTATTATGCATGCTGCCTTTAATAATCTTTCTTTCTCTTCTCAAGAGTGTCGAAACTACCAAATCATGCAACCTTTGTGTTGTGATTAGTTACTGGCAAGCATGGTAAGATGGTGAAAAGGAGTCTTTCCTCTTGAAGAGGGAAACTGGTTAGTTTTAGAATAAATTTATCGGGTGTTTTTTTATTTGCAGGAGAGGGGGGAGGGAGAAAAGAAAGGTCATGACCTGGAAAAATAATAAAAAATCTTTACATCTCTTTCCTTCATGGTTTATTTCAGTACTTACCCTGTGTCTGATAGTTTTTCAAATTTGTTTCTCTAGATTTCTTGAAGAAAACAAAAGCACCTCGTGTACCAAAGGGCTCCCTGGCATCCAGTAATGCATATATGCTTGTTTATACCCTGCAAAAAAATGAGGATAACGATCCTGATCGATTGGAAAATCCAGCAATTCTGTCTAGTAAAGTCCGAGAAAAGTTAAATCCCAGAGTCCTACAAGTTGTTGAAGAAAAGAACAGTCACTTTAAAAAATGGATGGAAGAAATCCAAAAATGTAGAGTAAGTGTCTCGGTGCCACCTCTAAGTTTATTTGAAAAGAAATTACTGTGAAATCTGGCTGAATTGAACTACGGTTAAGATGGAATCCTGCTTACATGGAACATATCTTTAGTCCCTGGACACCACTATAAAGGGCAAGAATTTGCGGACAATTTTTTGGACAACCCAATGAAAATGTAATTTCACATGTGAAAGGTCAAAAGAAATGAGCGAGTCTAAAATAAAGAAACGTTTGAAGAAAAATGTTCATGATGACTTATCTGTATTTTTAAAAGAAGTAGAAAATTAAGAGCTTCAAAATCTGTGACTTTTGATATCCTTCGATGACTTGTTGAAAGGAAAGGGTCACTTGAAAAATTGAGAATACTCAATAGATAATTGGAAAATTTCGAAAAGTCACACTAAAAATGACTAGTAAGTTTCTTGAATTCGCTTAGCTCGAATTTTCGAGCTTATTTCGTGTCAAACGGTAAAGCATATGAGACGAAAAGCCGTCCAAGTCGAAATTCCTCTCTGTCCCTTGACATTTCAACTTAGTGAGATTTCACTGTATTTTTTTTTTTTAAATTTATCAAAGAATTTGAAAAATATTTGCTAAAGGATCTTGAAAATATTTCAAATTCATTAAAAACGAAATTTAAGGGGTGTTCTATTCAATAATGAAGATTAGAAATTCACAGATTAACCCAACAAACTGAAAATATAAAGGAATTCATCTTTTAAAATTGATGTTTATTTTGAAAATAAGTCATAAAGCTTTGCAATCTCTCAGTTGCGTTATCAATAGCTGAATATGTCCTAGCACTCAAAGATTTTACCAGTACTAATAGAAAAAATGCTTAACAATTTTTATGCCCAATTACCATCCAGATATCCTGTCAAACATTGTTTTGTTAAACTATGCAATCTTTGAAGAGACGCCAAGAAGATGCCTCATCTCAAACATTTTCCTTCCAAATGTTGTTGATTGTTGTTGTCAGTTGTTGTTCCTTAGCCATCATTATGTTGATCAATGTGACATTTCATCAAACTGAAATAGTTTTTTCAAGAACACCTTACAATGCTATTCCTCGGCTACTGATAACTATTGACCCAAATCAAAGTAGTTTTCCTCCAGTTCATTTCAAATATTCACTCTCAAAAAGATGAAAAAGAAGGGGAAATAAATATAAGAGAAAAAATGCAACAGTTTAGAGTGTTGCGGCAGTCTAATTCTCATTACATCGCTGATATAAACATTCAAATAGAAAAACTGTTTACTTTTTCATGAATCCTCCAATTGTATAATTTGTTTTCATGTAATTCATTGGGTATTTAATGTTGTTACAGGATTTAAAACTAGACAAGTCTTTGCAAATGAAAGAAGAAGTAGCCTCAATTCTTCGAATCTTACCTGTTCAAGAGGAAAATACTTTTGATTTAGTTCCAGTCTCATGGTTAAACCAGTGGCTGTCGAAGGACGGCTCAAAACCTGTCGATCCTATCAATAATTTACCTCTTTTATGCTCACATAATAAAATTAATCCTTACTGTGTTCATGATGCCAAGTATATTAATTCTGCTGCGGTAAGCATCCACTGTTTCTTTCTAAAATTTAAAAATGTATAAATTATGTTTATCTCATATTGTCGCCCTCTGATGTACGGGTGTATTTCAGTTTGCATGTGAGCCCTGCCACATGAAAATCAATGCTTTCCAGAAATGAGCCTGAAAATGAGCCCCAGGGCTCATACAGAAATCTGGGCCCCCTATGATAGAGGTGCGACGGTATTAAGTCAAAGGTCTCCGAACATCTTATCCCAAGCAGCAGAACCATGTTTTATCTAATTAGGAAAAGTAATTGGAATATCAAATCATGGAATTCATGAATACATACATATAAGGGGAAACTGGTGAATGAAAAAATTTTTTGTTAGTAGAGAGATACTTGGAATTAGACCAAAGTGCTTAGCTTTTAACCAGAATTCTTAGTTTTAGAAGTTCTTGTCATAAATATCAATTTCCCTCTGCAATGAATTTTGTAGATCTGATTTACTCTTTCTCGTTCTTGTACCAGGACTAAAACAGCAGTGACCAAGAGCCTACACGATTGGTAAACAGAAAAACTAGGAAAGAGAGGAGGAAAAACTTTACCAAAAACTCCAAAGAAAAAACTGATTTATTCCAAACGATTTTGTGATAAAGATTATAATTTTACCCTACTACGTAATTTTTCACGATCTGTTAATTTGAATAACCATCAAAACGAAAATTAGGTTTTGAAAATTGTATCTTTGGGAAGAAAAACAGAAGCTTTGAAGTATATTATCATTGGTATAGTGCAAAGTTCTTTACAAGGCTTCAATAATAAACATCATTAACTCAAATTAATTTCTTTAGCTATGGGAAAAGGGGGTACAGCAATGCTCTGCACTAAAAAGTATGGTATTGTGTTGGTTTTGACACCATCGCAGATTTTAAGGCGCAGTGAACGAATTGTTAGTTTGTGATACAGTGCATACATGTGCATCAACATGTGTGCCTGTTGCTCTTGATGGTGATTTGCTATTAGCCTGGTCATTCCTGCACCTGCATACCTTTCCCAGTTTGCGCCTGAGAATTCTTAGGATTGAACCTTGCAAAGTTTTTTCTCAAATCAAAGGTTTTTTTTTCCTCTCCTTCTAACTGAGTAAGGAGTGATGATATAAAACACTTTGTTGTTTTTCCTTTCCCATTGATTAACATTTAATTTTGTGTTCTCTCTTTTTTGCATTACAGGCTGATAAATTATATGAACAGTTCAATGGCGGACCCCGATTAAAGCTTCTCCCTGATGCTTGTAAACTTTGCATACGCAATGAATTCACGTTGATTAAGCTACGGGCAAAAACAGCGGAAGAACAAAAAACTATTTCGCTCCTCACAAAATACAAAATGGATGAGTAAGTTATATCATTAATTAGCCACTTATTAATCCACCATCGCTGTAGGAGTTCATTTTCTATAATGATTCCATAGTGTAATAATGGTGCAAATTATGATGTTTTTAAAGTAACAAAAAAAATGAACACTCATTTTTTGCAAAAGAGTATGATTCAAAATCATATGAAACATTGTATTAAAACATTTTTATGAAATGTTGAAAAAGAATTGGGCGATTGTCATAGTGTATTTGAAGATAATTGAATCATATGGGCTTACCTGCACTTTTTCAAGAAACTGTGATAATAGCACCAATAAAAAAAGTTCTTTCAGATGTAATTATTCTTAAAGCCGTAAGCGCTAAAGAACGTAAGTAAATGCTACTCCCTTTTGACGTTTATTATTTTCTTGTTTTGTTGAAAACCGTGTGTGTTTATTTTCCTCACCGTCTCTTTGATTTTTCCACCCTCAGGAACATGCCAGGATTTTGGGTCAGCCGAAAATCATTGAAATCGTGGCGAAGGATAGTTCTAGAACGAGCAGAAAAGAAATTAAATATCAACATCAAGAATAATAATAAGGAAGACCAAGAAGAGCCCTGCTGCAGTAGTTCGAGTGACAAAGATTTAAATGGAAAAGCCGAACCCACTAGCTCTAAACTCGTAAACTCTGAAACAGTACATAACTTAGAAAGAGAAGAATCATCAAGCAAGCTCTTGAATTCGGATAATACTCCCATAATTAAGATTAATTCATCCGGGAATGAAACACATGCTGCTGAAGTACCTACCTCTTCTAAAAGCTCAGTTGAAAAGACAAGAAGTTTAAGGCCAAGGAGCAAAGAGGAAGAAGTTTCATCATCCATAGAGCTCTCATCAGATCAAGTAAAAACAGAGCATGACATATTAGTGACACTCTCACCTCGATGCCCCCCAATACCTGTGTCTCCTAGGACACATAAGAAAATCATGAAGGTTAGAGAGTGTAATCAATTGCTAAATTTATTCCATGAAAATGTTCAAAGTGTGAAGGAAACACTCATGGAAGATGTAAAAGATGAAATGAAAGTAATTGAATCGCAGATTGATGAAAGCACCAAAACCATAGCATCTGGAGTCACTCAGATGAAGCGAGTGTGTACCGTTCTCTTAGACGATATCTTAAAGAAACGCCAGAATCAATTCGTACGACGACAGCTACCTTTTAAATCAGAACCTAGCTCAAGCAATCACGAGATTACTCCAACAAACTCAGCGATGGACGTTGTTGCGGACAGTAGTAATCATGCCATTTCATTAAAGTCTAAAGAAAGGAAGAATTATCTAGCTGCTTCTTCCTCCTCGAACTGTAATGATTACTCTGATAGTGAAGGAGACATGAGTCCCATTGTTGGTCGAGACGCTTATGTAAAAAGGTCAAATGAAGGGGAGTTACTTAGTGAAGGCGATGCAAGTCCTATTGTTGGTCGAGAAGCATCTATAAAAAGGTCAAATGAAGGAGAGTTACTCAATGGCTGTGCTAAAAGAATGCGATCAGATTCAAGTATCAAAACTGATAATGATGCTGAGTTATTTGAAGAGTTTGAAGATCTGAATGACGATATTGTCTGTGAACATGGTAAGTAGCTCTTTAAATTTCTCATGTTCATGAACTGAACAAATCTCATGTTTTTCATACAAATGCTTCAACGGCTGGCCGTAACCTCATCTTGCGTGCACAGCGGTTACATTTCATAAAGGGGATAGATGCCATGGCTACGCAAGGATGGGGTATATGACTAGTAGCAACAACCAGGAGAGAGGTGCTGATAATGAACCCCTAGATGAGGTACAAAGCTCAGCATTCTGATAGTGTTTCCTAACCATAATTTAATGTAGAACTTGCTTTGAACAACGAAATTTACTGAAATCGACTCCTAACTGAGATATTTATGTTTCTTGAGGTAAGAATTTAAATCTCCTGCTCATGAAAACACAATGGTCTATGTACGTCAGATCGCAAACTAAACGTTACCGTGGCAGTCTCTGCCATACGTAAATATGGCCATTTCAATTTTGAAGCTTTGGCTCAGCTACAGCAAATCGTTTACTCTTTGAACAATAAAGGGTGGGAAATGAACAACGCTTGATGAAGAAACCCTCCAAAACCGTTGTAGTGCGAGCTTGACTCACGTAGAGTATTGTGTTTCTTGTGACCGGGCATTTCAAATTTCCGGCAACCAATGTAAAATTTAAACTTTGATATTTTAGCCAGGAGTTGATTTCAGTAATTTTTAATGCAAGAATCGTGTTTTACGAAAACTGTGTGAAATTTTGGTTAAGAAACATGTATCAAAATGCTAAACTTTGTACCTTGTCTAGTGGTCCATTAGAAATTGAAGTGTTTGGCTGTTCGTATCACTGTGTTTATTGAATCTATAAAAAGGGACAAAGCCCAAGGATTACAAAAGGCGGGCCCAGGATTATTTAGGGCTCAGGAGCTGGTAAGGGCACAGCCCAGTCGAAGAACAGGGCATAACCCTGGAATTTTAGAATGCTCCGCTATTGCTGTTACAGCAATCAGCGGCTCTCCTTCTATACGAAGTTTGATGGTGTTGCCAGTGAAAAAAAATACTTAAGGGGTCCCGTTGGATGTTTTGCTCAAAACGATCTGTTAAACTTCTTGGTATAGTTTATACTTCTAAGAGCCTTCCACCCATCAGCTTAATATAAAGTTTTTTTCCGATTTCCTTTTCACAGTCCAGTCACCAATCAAAAGTGTATTTAATTTAACCTTATCCATAGATGTAAATTGTAGATGCCTTGTAGTTTTAATCTCCTTGCATCAATTGTCAGAGAAGTTTTTTTTTAAAATCATTTCACAAAATCAGTTTGAAACATTTCCCAGGTTAAAGCACAGTACTTTCTGTAATGGGCTCTTTTTTCTTTTTTTTTCAAGGTAATTTGTGTTTCCAAGAAAATCTAAGACGTTTAGTGCCTTGTGATGTTTGGAATATCATGTCATCCTATTTTCCATTAGCAAAAGCTTTTCCTAAAGAGGTGGAGCCCTGCTTCAAATGTGAGGTAAGTTTATTCACAGATTTTATGTTCCCTAATCAGGAGAGAAAATCTGTATACATTCTTCAATTAAATGTATAAAAATGAGATAATAATAAGAAATATATAGAAAGCTCCTCAAAATGGTTTGTGCAGGCACCATAAAGTACTAGTATCAACTTGATTTTTTTCCAAACCATTTATTATAAATATTTGAACTCTAACAAATGAGCCAAGTCTACTAATTCTTAGCTCCAATTATTCAAAGAAGTCCTTTTCTTCATTCATTCTTCTATTGTAGATGGCCAAAGTGCAAACCAAGGTATCTTGATTGTAGTATTTTAAAAGTTCCATTCCTATCTTATTTTCTCAAGAGAGCCAAGCCAACTTCATGGTTTGAAATTTATTCTGAATATTCTGCCAACAGAGAAGAAAAATCAAGGTAGTTTTCAAGGAATTACCTCAACCAATTTTCCAAAGAAAAAATGAAGTATTATAGGAAGTCTTCAATATTGCAAATGGAGTTACATGTTTTCGCACTATAGCCATGGAAGCACAGCATGTTATTCTTGTCATGTCTATTGTATTTATGTTTTAATTACTCCAACTCATTTGATTGAATTTCAGGGTTTAGCAAATGAAGATAATTTTGCCAAAGATAGACTGAAACAAGAAGCTCTGAAGCAAAAAGAGTGTCTGGGAGAACTCCTTTTGCGCAGCAACAATGAAACTAGTAAATTAAATCTAAGCCTCGATGCTAGTCGTGTGTACCTGATCTCTTCTGATTTCATTTCAGATTGGAGGAAGTTTATCAGGTAATTTCTTTGTTTCTTTATTTCTCTTCAGTAGAAGTTCTAGCGTACGTATGAACAGAGTTTAACAGGAATGCAGCAGTCGAACTTTGGATAAAAATGAGTAGTGGTGGTTTTGAATTAAACTAGCTGTAAACTTTCCCCCGTTAAAAATTCGTGCAAATGAAAACGGTTGTTAAACTTTGTCCTTAATTTCAAACCCCTTTTTCTCAGATGAAATTTGATGGGACTTGGTGCATTTTTGTTAAAGTCTGTTCGCATATCAACCAAGCAAAACACTATTAAAATAGAAATTTAGAGTTAATGTTCTCGCTGTTAAGATAGAACTAGGGCATCTAATATATCTCAACTTTAGCTCAGGGAGGTCTGAATGTATCCAACAGATTAGAAAACTATCAATATGCCTTCTTTTCGTCAACTTTTTACTCAAAGATTTCCTCCAAATTTTAGTCTTTTCATGACAAGCTTTGTTATTCTGAAGCCACGGAAATCTTGTCAAATGAGACAAAGAGTTGTAAAATCTTAGCACACCTGGTGGTGCTTACCTGGTTTTGTTATTCCTCTCCTCAAATGACATGGAAGTTAATGGCGTGAATGAGCTTTGACTGGAATATGAAGGCAAAGCAGCAAGCCGTGGTGGGTGTGGTGTTCAATATTTTGGTACAATTTACCCCAAGACAATTATTTCTCAAAACGATCAATATCTCATATTTTACATTATTCAGTTACTCAGTATTACGTTACTCAGTTATTTACAGCTTTTTCAAATTTAAAATCAAAGACTCCCTGGGCTTTTAAGACATCAGGAACTTCCAAGGATCTTTCAAGCTTTTCCGAAACGTTTTTCGAGTACGTTTAGAGGTGAGTTGTGATGCAACATGGCTCATTTGCTCTCCAAGGTTTTCTTGGTCAACACAATTGTGAATGGATCCAAGAAAACTTCTTAGAACGAACAAACGCAGCCATACGTTGTGCTTAAGAAAACTAGAGCGCCTGCAATTTTTCGGACGCAACACGGACATCCCGAGAACACGAATAGTTGCATCCAGACCTAGCCGCTGAAAAAAACGTTCCGGCCTTCGATTTTTTCCGCTTGTAATGACAAATTGTGTCGTTCATTGCATTCATACGTCGTCTCACACGGAAATAGGGCGGTTTAAGTATTTAATCAAATTGAAAAAGAAAAAAAATAAATAAAATAAACAAATTAATCCTAGAAAAAATTAAAAAAATATAGAGACTATTCATTACTCCCTTAGCACGGCAGTATAATCCCATAAATTTATAGATAACCCGTTGCCAAGAAGACTCGGTAAGATGCAGTCTTGGGTATCGCTCATAGACTATATAGGGTCGTAATGTAAGTGGGAGAGCTGGCGCCACTTTTTAGCAATTTCCAGGACCCGAATTCCGAGATTCCTGTGTGGCGCCGGGTCTCTTTTTCGATATATAATCGATTGTTTGCGATACACGGGGACCCGGTCATATTCCACGCCGCCATTTTGGATCGAATATGTATCGAAAAAGTGACCCCGCACACCGGGCTCGGAACTCGCCGAGCAGAACATGGCGCCAGCTCTCCCACTTACATTACGACTCCATGTACTCTATTGTATCGTCAGCCGGCTGATTATTTTGACGTCCTCCACGTGACCGAAAAAACCTCGGGAGCATTTGGCAACCCCGCTCTACGAAAACTGACCGGGGCGGGCAAGGGCTGCCGAGGTCCTTCCGAAGTCATCCATTACGCAAAACGACTCAAGTCCGCGCCGACAACCCCCCGGTCGCCCCGAAGAGAGAGACACCCCCTCGCTCCTCCGTCGGCGAGAAAAGGCGTAATTAATAATTCACACCTAATTAGGTCCGCGCGACGCCGCGTCTCGGGCATTGTTATGACGTCGGCGAAGGGTTTCATTATGCCCGGGACCCGGCGGCTTCCATATTCTTGACTTGTCCGGTCGGTGTCACCACCGCGTAATAAGTAATTTGTCACCCGCGGCCTTAGACTTGGATTAAATAAGGAAAAAATTATGAATTTATGAGGAGGATCCTCGAGTTTTTTCTCCCCNCCCCCCCCCCCCCCCGGTATTAATTTTTTATCGCGTTTCCTCCGCCGAGCGATTAATTACCATCTTGTGCATTCCGGTGTACCCGCGGCCGCTTTTGAATGTTTTAATTTGCGGCCGTGACTCGGTATATTTTCGAGCTTCTCATTGGCCGATCTTCTAACGACTCGGTGAATGGGTGGAGGTGTCGCGGGCTTATGTTGTAATCGGCAGAGTGGAACGTTCTTGAAAAGTCAGGGAATGTTCGTTCAACCCCTAGAAAGTCGGCTAATTTTGCTGCGGATTGCGAGTTCTTCCTCCGGCGCCCGGACTTAGCATTTTTCTGATGGGTCAGTTGCGCTGGTCTTAGAATCGTGTTTTGATGCTCCGTTAATATTGAACGTAGAAAGTTCAGGGTGTCTACAAGTCCTGAAATAGCACTGATTTTTTAAGGGCGGTGCGGAAGTACTGGAAAAATGCGGGAATTCCGCAAGAGGGCCCGGAATTTTTGTAATTTTGTCGCAATTTGAGCGAGAGTTTCAAATATTAGAGGTTTTACGTTTTATTGTTGCGATTTTTAAGGTACTGAAAAAGCACTGAATTTCTTGGGAATTTACTGAAAAAGTACTGAAAAAGAGCTGTAAAAGTACTGATTTTTGGCCAGCCTGTCTTAGTAGACACCCTGAAGTTGCTGTACGGAGAGATCTTGTAACTTATAGCTTTACATGAATCAATCATCAAAATACGATTCTAAGACCAGCGCAACTGACCCATTTCGAGAGGCTTAGCGACAAGACGAAGCAAGCAATAGACAAAGAAGGAATAGGGAGTGTGGAGCGATCCTATTGGTTGAAATGTGTGGTTTTATAGACCAAGGTGGTAAATGATGGACTAACTGAAGGGTCTCTCATTAGTTAGGGACGTTAGATAGACTATCAGCTTCCTCCCGTGCCCATTGCAACCACCCGCTTCCACCAATAGGATTCCTCCATATCCCTTTTGCCTTATTATTTCTCTATAGCTTTGTCTATCACTTTCAAGTCAACAGTCAGCCAACTGACAATCTTGAGGGATGTTCTGATGGACGCGGTGGAAGGTAGTGGCGAGGCTTTCGATATTTTCCGTTTTGAAGCTATGGTAAAGAATCGATTACTAAGTATCTCGATAATCGATACATTTCCATAGGTTTATATAGGCATCGATCCATCGCAAAACACGACCTGTGGAAGGATGCGCACGGAGGCGCGTTAATCACTCGCGATACTAATCGTTTCTCGTCCGTCTGCCATCGTTCCCAATTTCGTCCGCGATTGATGGTTCCGTTTTTAAACCTCTCTCGCCTTCAATTACATCGCTTTTCGTTCCTTTTCGCCTTCCCATCGCGAGATGCATCCATCCATGCATGGAGGCATCGGGAAACAACTTCACGCACCTCTCGACTTATCGCCACTGCGCGGGCAAGTGGACCGAGTTTAATAGAAACTGGTCACATCACACCGAGCACGAACTGAAGTGAAAATGGATTTATCGATCAATTACATTAGATAAAGATTCAATAATCGACCCGGGGCCGATTAGCTGGTAGCAATGACCTCTCAAAATATTTTTCAAAAATTCTCAAAATGCCTGTATTAGGGAATCTTTTTTGGCAGGTTTTTTTACTAAAATTTAAGGAAAGAAGTGTTTGAAAAAAAAACCTTAAAATATCGTGTTTTTCAAATATTTTTACTGTTGATCTACGGTTGATATTTTAAGAGTTTTTTTATGAGAGACGCAAAAAATTATTAGCATCCCCATTTTAAAATATGCCTTTCTATTCTCAAAACATATTTTCTCCCCCAAAATTGTTGTAAATGATGATCTTTCTGACAGCTTCCCCTTCCCCTATCTTCCATGGTGTCCAGAATTTTTTTTATCATTTTACGCATTATTTTGATGTTTCATTATGTTGATATACATTGTTTTTTTTTGGGCACGATCATTTTTCTCCTGATCCGAAAAGAAATCTCCGTGGCGACAAATTCAATATAGACTGATTTAGTGGCTACGTCCTATAGTTCAATCGTAAACAAACACATAACATTGTCTCTGATTCGCGTTCTTCGCGTCATGGTGGTAAAATGCTCCCAAGTGTGTCTTACCATCGAAATTTCTCGCGTTTAATGAGTCCTTAATTGATTTAAGACCTGCATGTCAATGACCGAATTGTAATGAATTAACAGAATTAACTCACGAAGACTTTGTACATCAGGTTATAAAGTTTAACTTCAGAATTTCGTCAACCGCTTGTCCAATACTTACAGCCTTCGTTCTTCATGTGAGAGCTTCTCCTCTGTTGTCTTTTGCATTTTTATCGTTGAAATTTTCAGCTTTTACGTAAAGTTGTTTTCTTGTTGCTAAGTCTGCTTTTAGTCATTTTTGCGTATCATAGCTTCTGACGATTCCATGTTTACCGAACGTTTTATGATTTCCTTGAAACTCTTTTTAAATTTTCCTTTCACGACCCAACCATGTAATTTTCCGCCATGTTTCCTATTTTATAGAATTTTAAAATTGTGTTCAATTTCCTCTCAATGCACTATTCGCAACACTTCAGTATCTTCTGAACGTCTTTTGTCTTTAAATTGCCGTCTGTTCTCTCCCTACAGTGCAGTTTTGGCTTCCTCTGAGTATTTTCATAATTTGTATTAAATTTAGGTTGCAGAAGGGAAACGCCCACATAGTTGGTCTAAATTTTCTTGTAAGGTCTGAGAAAAATCTTCTAAAATCCGACGACAAATTGGCGGGAGTCAAATAAATCTGCGGAAGCGGCTTTTTACGGGAGGGGTGCCGTAATATCGAAAAACACAAAACTGATATTTTTATACTGCTGCCCGATACGGAATTTTTTTGCGAGTATGCTTGCACATAAAAAAGCAAAAATGCAGGCCAATATACATTTGAGTGGTCCTTCCTTAG